ACCACTCTGAATACAAAAAACAATACAGAAACTCATTATGAAATAACATCGATATCCAAATAAAACGATTACACATAAATTGACAAATTAATAAAAAATAATCCTTCGCATACGCGTACCTAAATTAATACTCAAAGGATTAAGTCATAAAAGTTGTTTACGAGTCTCCTAACTGTTCTAACAGCTGGGAAGGCCCTTCGCGTATGAACAAAGTATACATTGGGCGTAGGTGAAGAGAATGTGGTGGTGAAGTTACAACCTGGCTGCTTCACGAACAAATCTTGTTCACGAATTCCATGTAACACCCGACTATTAACAGTGTTTTTAAAGTAAGTCTCGTATGGAGAAAGAGTGGTAAAAGAAAGGCTACTAATGAATAATAAAAAAAAATGAAGGACCCTACACACGCTTACATTACCGGCATATAAGGTGGTATAGAAACTCGGGTAAATGCTACCAAGCAGTGTAGATACCACGCTTCAAAGAGATGAAGACATGAACAACACTCCTGAAACGAACTCACCGAATGGTATTACTTCTCTTCACGGCGGGAGGCCCTACACCAGTTTATTTTATATCGGATCTTAATTTAATGCAGTAGTCTCTCTGTAGGCTTGTATTATATACACCCAATATATATGTATATATATATATAATTATGTAGGTGGGGTATATAATATAGACGGGACCGTAGTTGATATCAAATAACGCTAAACATTACTCTCCGACGAATCGATAGCGTCTCAAACAGGTTGGAAGATTTGTATAAGATCGGATGATTTGCATCCTGTAATCTCTCCACTTTAGCTAGCGATATCAGAGTATCTGAGAAGAATTAATAAGATAAAAAGACAGTAAAAAAGAAAAAGATCGCGTAGGATTTATTTTCGAAAATGTTTCAGACAACTTTGATTTTAATGATGCGTGTATATTTGATGCACTTGCGAAAGATTGTATTTTCTATTTTTGATATATAGGGAGGTATTATTATTATCGAATTTATTGTTATTTTTTTTATTCGATTATAAATAAGACCTGTACCACTGTAGCTGTTGGCATTACTTATCGTTAGCTGAGAGTGCTGATGGGATTCGATGGAAGCTTTGAAAATATATAGATATACCCTTCTACGTTATTCCATGAAAAGGGAGACTAATATAAGCGGTCTCAGGAATGCCCTGCACGCAATACGTATCTTGGTGCACCAACTCGAGAGCACAATGCACCTTTTAACAGCTATTTGTAAACGTCAAGTCTGAGTGTGTCGAGCCTCTTTTTTTTTCAAAAGAAGTTACGTCGCACAGTTTTTAAAAGTCAAAAACTCGACGCATCCCGATGATCGATGGACATGCCTTCTCACACGTGAATATTAGGTACGTCAAGTACGTTCTGCGTAGCTGCGCGTATGAAAATCGTAATTTAGATTGATACGTGTAATTTTTTATGCATTAGCGCACGATGCACCCCAGTCCCGTGAAAAGTGTTATTAATGACTTTTCAAAGTGCATCGGAATTTGATGGATGCACCACACTTCGCCTGCTTCCTCAACGATTCACTAATGAAATTTTATATATATTTTCACGCCCTCACTTATTATTCTTAAATTCATCTTTCCACAGCACACTTACCCAACGTCTATCTTTTATTAATTCATAAATGATCCAAGAGTAATGAATAAGTAAAAAAAAAAACTCATAAATAATCCAAAACAAGTTTTCACGTAAATACCCAAAAGTTAGCGAAGTCAAGTCAACGTGTACCATATAACGACATACATGCAATTTCACCCTGTGCATCCAGAGACAGCTATATACCGCACTTTACACTGTGCATTTACAGTGCAATAATGATCGACGCGAGTGCATAAAACGAAATAAATATCAAAGTACCGAGGGACGCTGAATGCTTTTGCCCCGAGGCTGTGAAATCAGATCCACTGTCCTTATACTTGTCGTACGCTGTACCGTAACACGCGAGACGCAACACGTAAGACCAATCACATCACACGGCCCGTGACTCTTTGATAACCGATAACCCATCCGGTTAAATAGATTTAATATGAAGATTCATTGAGCATCTGGAACGTCGGCTTGAGATAGAGTCCAGATCATATCCTTATGGGAAGATATTTCGGCAGGATCTATTCGGAGATTTAGATTCCGAGACTGATCGTAAACGAGCCGTCGATCATCCGGACGTGAAAAAATAATATTATTTCTCTTCGATCCTAACGAGTCCATTGTTTACGTCGTTATCGTTTCATCCATTCCTACAACCACACTGCGTGTTATCCAATTGCTTCGGTCGTATGCGATATGAAATCAAAAGAATTTCGTCGATCATTCATTGTCATATAAATTTTCTTAATTACTATTTTACTCACTTTTTTCACTTTTTTTATTTTTTTATTACTAATGATGCAATCGTTAATAAAATAAAATATGTCATCGCATCATATACGGATTATTTTTTTTTATTGAACGTAAGTGGTACATGGTATCTTTTAACTTGTATGATGTCGCCCATGGAGATTTATGGTTTCTTTCGAATAAAAAAAAGTCTTATACGGTATTTGAATGACATTTATGAGTTGTATTTTTCACTGATAGACAAACTCAAGTCACAATAGACTTTCTCTGTACGGAATTAAGGAGACGGCGGATCTTAATGTTGTGCGAGGCACTGCTTGCCGATTCTTGACGATCGAGGAGAACCTGTAATAAACGAATCCTCTTGCGAGACGGCTCCATTGCGCGAGCAACGGAATTAAATGACGCGATCGTAAAGTCCGTCGAGAGGTATTATCGATGCAATAAAGAAGCGCGTTAAGTCGTGTTACAAAGACTCAGCCAATTTGCAGTGAATTTGCTCTGTCACGGACATTGGGAGCTACCGCGTGATCCACTATTATTCATCACAATCACGAATTTGAGAGTGACTTGTTCTGATCATGTTACTTATTTACTTTCCAGAATCGTATCAACCGTTATAAAAGGAAGATCTATTTCTTAATCGAATATTCCTCATAACTTTCTTTTGACTCAATACAAAATCGTCTAATTTTTAGATCTGTGAATTCTCACGCTATAAGAATTTATAAAAATGAATCAAACTTCCGGAACAAAAAATTACAGTGAACTGAGATCTGTTAGTGGCTTCTATTCTAGGAACTAAAATGAATGTTATGACTAATACGTGTAGAGATACTATCTTCTTATTTAGATACCTATTCCATTTATTAGTCATCCACATAGAACGGATGGATATAGCAGTGTAAAAGTAGGTATTATACATGTAGTGATAAGAACGACTTGTTAAATAAAGAATTGCTAAATATAGTACAACCAAGTACATACAGTAACGGTATGGACTAAAATGAATCTGTGACAAGAGAGCTATTCATGTGTCATACCTATATCCATACTAGAAGATAATTACTTGCTGATAACAACGTACAATTACCATGGACATTCCAGTGAAAAATTTTTACGAAAATTATAAAAGTACACTAGAGACAAAAAATAAACTGGCTTTAAAATCATCATTTAGATACGTTTTCTCTCGTGGGTTTCCCATGAGAAAATTCCTCTTATCACGTGTATAAATACCAGTCGTACACTTTCGGATCCATCACGGAAGCTGACAGCCATTCGAGTTTGACAAGGTGTGACGGTCCGCGAGCACGTGTCGACGTTTTCTGTTTTGTAACTCCTTAAAGGCTGCTTGTGACGATTCCTTCGTTTTGATAGAGCACACGTTTCGTGTGACGTGTATAATGAAATATCCTCGAGTTAAATCGTATTCCTTGTCGAGTAAACAAAAAATATGAGAAAGCAAGGATAACCTGTATACGTAATTTCATACAGGACTACACAAAAAGACAGTTTCGATTAATTTTAATCATTCCGTTTAATCTACGACGATTAGCCTCATCAAACTCATCATCAACGACTAAAGATCAAGATCAACCCTGAAACTCATCCATCAACTAAGCTATCTCGTTCTATAGGGATATACCGCCTACTCCGTTTCCATGAGGGCGTCAACATTTTCACGTGACACGAAAAACCATCTCGTACTGAATGCAATAGGTATACACATAGTTAGAGGATGCATAGGTTAGGTACAGTTAGGTGATCATCCCCAGCTGTAAGGGTAGGATTAGCTTTGCACCGGTCTACCTAATTGTCAAAGAAGGAGTATCTATATGTATGTATATATATACCTCCTATTGAAATGGTCTCTACCAGATAGGTATGCTCACGTGAATGGTGCTTCATAAATATACAAGAGTCGAGTCCTCAGCTTTCAACGTCTTGAATGACTTGCTTCCACGAGAAAACATCGGCGACAACTCAACTCTGCATAAGCATCAAGAACGTACAGTGGGCCGATCCGAATGCGCGCGCGCAACGTGCAACAAGAGAGAAACGAGAGAAGCAAAACCCGGATTTCGAAGGGAAAATAAATATGAGCCTTGCTCCAGTATACACGCAGCCACCCGATGAAAGATGGCGATCCTCGTCTGCAAAAACGGCATAAACGGTACTTCGGGGACCTGTCGCGAACCTGCTTGTCACTCGGAGTGGGCCGGACCCTCTGATTGGTGGGTAGCCGATGCCGACAGTGAGGACAAGTGGTAGCACTGGTAGCACTATCGCACCTTAAGCTCCAGCATGTAAATACAACTTGGTCCTCCTGTACCAGGAGGCTCTCTAGCTTTATACTCCTTTTATCTGTAGACCTTTCGGAAGCTGTATTATTCCTGACACTTGGGAAACCGACAGTGCCTGATTATCATGATTGGATTAGTTTACTCGGGATAAATTATTCCAGGAAAGGACCAGGATGAATCTTATGGGCCACCCGGAGATCCTTCTTAAGATCAAGTACCACGCGCCATAGATGGGATGGTAAGGGTTTTATATGATTAATATTAGGTATACTTAAGTGTATTAACGATTGCTATGATTGTTTATCATTTTCTGTATCTTCTCACCTGACTTGTTGGGGACTCTGGATCTGCCCAAGAATAAGGAGGGCTATCGCGGTCACCGCGAAGTCACCACGACGCATCTCTTACATCACAATCACCTTGATTACTGATTTCATCAAACTGTCCTTGATGAGGTTAACCAGGTTGGTTAGATATCGATGATAATTCCTGGATCTTCCTCGATGACAGGATGACGTTTCCCTTAGGGATCATCTGCTATAAAGGATCCATATTCTCACGAGAGTTCCTACTGGGTCATCAGGATCTGGCACAGCGATGCAAGTTCATCGTCCGTTTTTACACAACCGTAATAACTTTTCTAGAGAAATCTCGAACCATCCACTATTCCACTTTTGACTTGTCCAGGTCGTCTAAAGGCTGCGGCTCCTTGATTCTTTTACGTGGTGTAAAGATATCAGTCATCAAGGATTCGTCTTAGGTGCGAGTCAAGCGGCTCCTTCAAGTCGTTAAAGTTTTATCTATCCTGTGGAAACTTTAAGATTGTACTCCCCACTAGTTCTCCCTTTTTTGATAACCTACGAAACCGTGCGGATTCATCCGGACGCATTATACAGACCGATTCTGAAATCTAATAATTATCCGACTTGTGACTTTCGGGACTTTCCCGTCATTTATACGTATAGACACAACGCGTATCCTGTGGCGTTTTTAAACCGCTAATAGGTTCTTTCCTTCGGAAATAAGAAATAACCTAACCTAAAATAGTCGATTTCGATAATGATCCCAATTTTGGGAGGACTAATGAAACCCAAAGGAATTAAATGATACAGTAAAAAAATTATGAAAATCTTGACTTAATCATCCACAAGTAAGTGTAGACTGAAAGGTCGACTTTTTCTTCTTCATAGCACGGAAGGGGCAAGGCGCAAGACTAACATTTGGGATTTCTAAAGTGTTTACCATGTCACCGGTACTGGTTATTGTTTGCCGTCGCTAAATACTTCAATGATTATTTCACTTGACATTGACCAAAGCCTATAGTGAATATCGGATTACACAGCGCTTGGATAACTCCATTATCTGGTATCGCGAAGTCTGCAGTGTGGTGCCAAAAAGGAAAGGAAACTAAATCTTAAAAACGTTCTACAAACGTTAAGTCTCGCGAGCAAATCAGTGCTGTAATCGCAACAAAGAATCATTAAATTATCTATACGTATGCCGAACATTCTCACAGTGCTGCTGGTGACACAATGTTTGTCCCGTTTAGGGTATCCACTTTGAGTATAGTACACAAGCGGTACTTCCTTTGAAATTTCAGAGACTGGTATTTTTAAAAATCAATGAATCTCCATTTTTTTTTTTTTTCTTTAGCTTTCTTCGTATAACGAGTCACTACTTTTAGTATCGATTAACGATTCGTTTACGTTCAATGAAAATTAATAATTTTTCTTATATAAAATATTACAATAAATCTTTTTTCTTTAGTAAACTTCTTGTAGGTCGTGGTGGACACGGTCCATACTTGTTGGTCGGAATTGACAAAGGTTTCGAAAAATATAATGACCTTTTAACGTCAAACCGAAGAGCACTGAAATATAATCCTTACGCTCGGTAGGTCGTATCTCACGTTTATGGAGCATTTGCTGTGTAGCAGACGTATTTCGCTGCGTGTAATGATCTTATGCAAGTGAGCCTGAGGAACAGAAGAGATCCGATGCACAAAGTGTGCAAGCTATAAATCGACAAATGTTGTAGGAGAGCCGTGAGCCATTCGCCAAGTAAATTTTTATCGAAGTCTATATAAGACGAATGTACATACGAAGGATGAACAAATTTACGGCTTTCAATGATATTTTACGCAACTAACTTATCGCACGGGCGCCATGGTACGTGTGCGGATACTTTTTAAACATCAATGTGCTGTTAAGCTCGATAGAAAGTTAATCGAATCCAAAGTACGCGGTTTATCGGAAAGACGGCAAACTCATTTATCCTAATGGCCAAATGCCAATGGAATCGAGTGCGCGCTCTTGTGTGCCGACTTACTTGAGTCATTAGCAAATGGGGGCTAATTAATAAGATAACCGTATGCTATCTATATCGAAGGACCAATTCTTTAGAATTCTATATAATAGTACGTAACGTGGATTTTAGATAAAGATTGACAAGATTCATTACCGTAGAATTACGATCTATTTACAGATCACGGTAGAAGCATTGAAATTTCAAAAATAGTCCATGTATGACAGCTTCAGTCAGGTTTTTTTTTTCAAAACTACTATATGTATACCGAAAATTGAACGATTTTAAGTAAACGAAACTACGAACGTTATGTAATAGTGTCGCCAGCATGAATTTTTTATTTTACCGTACCAAGTACTCATTTCTTGGCACCACGCTGAAAATCGGTTGAATAAAATCGCACGGGACTGAAATAATGTATTTTCTGTAATTATTAACGCATTAAACTCACTTTTTAATAATTACGTATCTTTTTAATCCAATCATTCTTTAGTCGAAAAAAAACATGCAGGAGTTTATTAATAAAGTGCTTGATTCTAACTATCAGAAATACCCGCGTGGCACAAATGTCCTTGGTATTTGATTTCGTTTGTTCCCGACTTTTCACAAATGATCATTAACGTTACAGCCGGCTGCACAGTTCGATCCGTACTGACATCAGCGCGTGGGAAACTGTCATTTGAGCGTCACAAATGATTTTTCATGGACGATTTCTTCATGTCCGCCTACCAATCGCGTTGGCACTAACGTCGAATACTCTTTATCGTTATCAATACGTACGAAACCACATGGAACTTAACAATTACCAGAATTAGCACTTTCAATCGTGAATCTTGATCACTTATCACATCACAAATCACTTACGTCACACATTCTCTTGTTTCGCTCATCAGAGAACAATCACTCTATAACGTTAATGTCACTAACGTATCGAACCTCAAAATTGAATAAAAAAAGATAATCATCAGCCACAAAAACAATGCTTAACCATCAGTCGCGCACCAAATGCATGAAACAAGCACCACAAAAAACAGTTCCAACTATCATGTTAATGTTGCCCTAAGGTACCAAATTAACCACATTTCCATCTGCCAGGACAATCTCAATAAAATGATCTCAAACCACATCCTTTAATGGAGTTCAGCAAGTTATCGTAATTCCTCATCATCGAGGAGATGAATCTTTGAATAACGATCGCAATCTTTCCAGAAAAGATTGTCGTCCTGGTACACGTTGCCGACGATCGCGGTATACGGAATCATCGATTCGGCTTGTCCGGATGACGTCTCGCTATCAAGACTGGCACGTTTCCCCTAGTTTTATTGGTATAATCAGTCATGCGCTCAGGCGATGATCTATTATGCACGCGAGTACAAGTCCCGAACTCGTGTCCTGGAAAGCCGGACTCCTGACGTGGTGCAGTTCCTACCTGGTCTGCGTGTGTTATAACACCACCTAGAGCAACACATGGGGGATTCAAACGAGCGGGCTAGCACCACATGGTGATTTAAACGAGCGGGCAGAAAGTAAGCGCGTTCGGACGAGAGGAGGTCCCGCGATGGACTGGCCTCACCAACCAACGGCTCCTGCCTTTGGGATCAGGTCCCAGCCTCTACGATGTTACCTCTACGATCCTACCTTGCCTCTTTCTCTTTCTTATTCTCTTTGTCTCTTTCTCTTTCTCTCCTTCTCTCTCTCTCTCTCTCTCTCTCTCAGCATTCTTTTCTCTTCCTCTCCCTCACCTCTTGTCTCTTGTATACCTTTACTTTGCTTTGCTTCACTTTGCCTCACTTTAAGTTACCTGAGACTGGATTCTCATTGTGTCTTATCAGCATTCTTTTCTCTTCCTCTCCCTGCCTCTTTCTCTTTCTTATTCTCTTTGTCTCTTTCTCTTTCTCTCCTTCTCTCTCTCTCTCTCTCTCTCTCTCAGCATTCTTTTCTCTTCCTCTCCCTCACCTCTTGTCTCTTGTATACCTTTACTTTGCTTTGCTTCACTTTGCCTCACTTTAAGTTACCTGAGACTGGATTCTCATTGTGTCTTAACCATCATTGTTCATGCATTTACATAATGCAAGTTACCATTTCTATAAAACTCTCGAGGACCATTGAACAAAAATTTGTTTATCACACCCAACTTAGGGTGGTACTTCGTGAGCGTAAGTGATAATTGATTTTTTTCATTATACTATATATGTATGAAATTCATGTCTTAGATGTATAGTTATGTGTTGCTGGTATCTTTCGGATAGGGTGTAATATCCTTGTACCAAACTTGTACGAGATAAACGAATCGTGAATTGCATGTATGAATTCGATCGTGTTACTCGTAAGATTCGCCATGTGGGATGAGGTCGAATGATTGATCAGATCAGCACAGCGTGGAATGTAACATGGTTTAACCTAACCGATCATAGTTCTCATAAGAAATAACGAAGTATTAGACATCTCAGCCGAAATTATAATAAGAAACTAATTTCCCATATTGAAATATTATCAAAGCATTTCACGTAGTTCTAAAATATCCCAGTCATACTTCCAGATAAATGACACCCATTGTTCCTGACCTTTCTACAAATCGTAACGCGAATCGCGTCTATCGTTGAAAACCCAAGTGTGTTATTCCCTATCCTTTCTACCGTAGTCACTTTTTACACGCATTCAAGTGCGTTGTTATTGCCATCTAGTTCAATGTAAAAACAACACTCTTTTAAGTACGTAAAAAGTGACTACCATAGAAAAAACAGGGAATAACACACTTCGCTACACACCTAAATTCACAGTATAGTCATCGTTGCGGTTTTGACATAATGGTTTTATTCGAAAATCAATGTTTCCCACCAGTCACCCTAATTCCCTGCGTTTCGAGGAAACGAGTGTACCGTGACCACACGAGAGAATCCCCCGGGCAAATTCACATTAATTACCTATCATCAAGTATAATCGTATACGCGCCATATGTTTTAATTTCGAAAAGGGTTTCTTTTTCTCTTCCCTCCAGACACTGTTATCCCTACTGATTACGGGAATGCACGTAAACATTTACCATCTACGTATTACATAGACTCCAACCCCTATTTAGACGATCGTCCATCTAGATAACCTGCAAATAAATCGCAATTTTAAATATTGCAATAACACAATTATACCGCATAACCACAATGGCACGCGATCCACCATGATAATAGCTTTGATTTCGATAACAAACCCATATAGGTATAAGTCTTCGGTCTTATGGTGCACGCCAACTCGTGCACGAGTTAGCAGAGCGTCGCGAGGCTGCTCTATCATTTGATTGGAATGACTTTAACAAACAACAGGAATCATGTCTCGTTGCACGGCAGGGACACGTTAGTTGGTTTAACGTTCGTGAGATAGTTAAAAGCACATACATAAATTACCCACGTATGCGCACACCTTATTGGTATTATGCCACGTGCACAGACCATCCTGACGTCTGTCATTCCGTAAAACACAGAGAATCGTAACGCAGACTATATTTTGAATGATATGAACAATGGTAACGGGAGGATGTTGCGTAACATGGTCATACGTATGCATATATCGTACGGCATAAACTTCATACAGGAGGTACTCGCATATCCTGCGTACATTGTACGCCCATTGTCAATTTTTTCACAGTCATTATTGTTCTGCCCTTTTCTTTTTTAATCACTCGCTGTAACTGTACCCATACAGCCTGGCTGTAAAAATATTTATAACCCACTGTGAAATTTGGAGGCTGTGTTCTGCCTTTGGTAAATCTTTAATGAGATATAATCAGCTTCATTATTGTTTTATTTATACGCTCCCTGATTACGACAGTTTATGGACCTGAATCGTAGTAGCGATGTCGAGGATAATGTATTAAAGAGATATACAGTATATAATAGTATATTAAAGTCAAAAAGTATTTTTGATTTATCAAATTTCCTTGATAGAAAATATAGACAGTACTCATCATGTTTATGAATGGTATTGACGTATGTATCTATGATTTTTGTATTTTCAAATTACTATCTATGGATACATGTATGGTACAGTGTTGGGTTATTGTCGATGGTACGGTAGGGCAGGTAGTCATTTTTTATCAGGGGTATCTCAAGTATCGACCTTACACGCTCACACATGCCATATGTGACAGATTACATATGTACCTGGATAAAAAAAATATTATATGAAACGGCAGTTAGGGGTGACGTCCCTTAAATAAGTTATCCCAAGGCCCTTCGTTTTGGATATGTATAATATAAATTCACGGTATCTATTTGTATTGGCTGTTATATACGTACGTAACGTTTTCTTCGTGCATTGTTAGGCATAAAACGATTGTTGGATTGTAGAAAAAAAAGTCTGTAATTCAAAATGAAAACATATGAGAATTCAATAATTCAAGGATTTACAGGATAAGGGAAAAACGTTGGTGGTCATATGGAAATAAATAAACTTACCTCGCAACATTTTATACGAAACGGAAGAATGAACAGCGACAGCCATAAAATTATAAGCCTTCGCATTACACAGAGAACGAATAACGAACGATCGCACGTTAAAAATAAGAAATTGAAATGGAATTTAACGATCGTTAAAACTCGATAACCAGTTATCTTGATCCCATCTTAGAAATTCTTCCTCTACCCCATACGAGCCAGTGAGTCGCTGTCTCCCGCGAGCATTCATTTTTATAATCAGAAAAATATACATTCTATAAGAAGGTTTACTTCCTTCTAATTTTTTTTTTTTTTTCAATTCTTTTACGAATTATAAGATTTACGTACACGTAGATGTACTAACATCGTATGTACCTATGACTCTGCACGTTGTAATCCCCACTGTAATTCAGACACCTTGCGAGCCTGCACTTATGGCTCCCATGAAAGCTTCACGGATCCCAATCACGTAAGTAAGATAAGTAGGATATACAGCATGCATGATATATTGCATTTTCATACAGTGACTTTATTACCTCCGAAATATATCCGGACCGGAGACCCAGATTGCCGATATATTTTTAATTGATTGCAGACCCGTCAATATGCAAATTCTCTTGGATCTGCATCTGCATCCGTATCTCGTTACCCGTGTAGACCCTATACGCCCAATTTCTCACAGAGTCCCCTTGGCAGCCTGATTTCTTTGTTCCCAACGGGATCATCTCTCACTGAAATATCTCTCGGCAACATTTACAAGTTCATCGAGAACGACAGTCACTAGAATTTTCCCTGTTAAATCGCAGGGTGCAGACCTTGAACCTACCCCAACCTTTTATATCTTGATACAACAATACCGTACGAGGCTGTAACAGGCTAGCCCTTATAAGGTCCATTGTGCCAGGCAAACATCTGCTCGAAATACAAACCGCTAATAAAAACATATAAAAAGGAATCACGGGTGGGACGTATGTGGCAATAGAATACAGGTAGGGGGTTAGAATTGAGGAGGGAGAAGGGACTGCGCCTAAAAGAAGCAAAATGTCCAATTGAGCGACACGCGATACTCATGTGACGACAGGGATTCTCATTTTTGAATTTTTTAGCTCGAATTTCCTATGTGATGTAAGATAAGTGAAATATACGTTACACGTGGTTACCGTATCCCAGGAGAAAAACTAGAGGGCGTGCGGTAACTTCGTTTCTCGAAAGTAGGTAACGATGCTTTCGGTGATCTCCACGGAGTGGCACTGCTATCAGTCACGTTAATTTAATCGCTACTGTGACGTAAACCGGACTTCAGAGAAGTCTCGTGATCGTTTTCTTAAATCGAGTTTGTTAGCGCGAGAGAAACTGGACGTGAATCTTGTCTCATGTGAAAACCTGAACCTATTCCATTGATCTAGCGGTCGTTCTTTATCTCGGAATCCATTACTCGACTGGCAGAGGCTCTTCTGCTATCTGAGAGCTTTATCGTCCGTAAACAATTATTTTTCAGGCGGTTAATTTAATTACAGGGGTTGATGATTATTAATTAGAATTTTATAGCCTTCCTGCACGCCCGCTGACAACGAGCTAGAAGCTTGGCTATATATAATCACAAGATAAGAGGATATTATGATTTACTTAACCTAACCTTATACCAATGTCAAACTTTACCTATGACATAATGCCTTTTATTGATTTTCTACAGCCGTACAGAATCTCTTAACCGTTACAGGGATTTTACAGGTCAAAGCTTAAGGGTGTTTAATCCACCTTATGTAATGGTTCACGATCAAGTAACCTTTACCTGGTTACACAGTACATGAGAAACAAAATGTAAAATTAAGAAGTCCCAAAGACCAATTCACAATAAGACTCGTTTGAGAACCTTTCTCTTATACCAGCTTACAAAAGTTATGCTCCATGAAGAAGTTATAACCAATAAATAATAAAAACGAAAGGTGCCAAGAAGAAGCTCGCAAAAGGGGGCGTAACCTGACTGAAGACGATTGGGCCTATTACCTATTACTTCCTATTAAATATCCACTACCTACGCTTGCCGAGAGTAGGTAAGCACCCAATGGGCGAGTGCTCATGTGGCTATCTATCGCAAGAGGTAATACTGGTCAAAGAAACTAGGAACAGGATACGTAGGCATCGGTCGCATTTCCGTGTAGGAATCCTATAAAGAACGATTATGAAATTTCGTATACGCTACAGTTATAAACTTATTCTCTCCCGTTAAGATCCCCTTCTCGTGAAACAAAGGCAAAGCTGGACCATCGACTCTTTAGCTTTCCTTTTCTTTCAGTACCTCATCTCCCGTCGCTGCTGCCACGACGCTCCTTCTCAACGCGACACTCCTTGTCGTCGCGACGCTCGCTTGACACACGACTCATTCCTGCGCTCGTTATCGGCCTTTGCTCGACTCTTCTCCACTTCGAGTTCGACCTCGTTCTCAAAGAGGCGGCTTGCGTGCGACTTCAGGTCGGTCAATGGACTATGACGAAAAGAACATCCACGATATTTATAGGTACCAATTCAATGAATGGAAATTACAAATGGAGTCAAGAAGTCATCGGGAGATTTTACTGCAAAAGCAATTGTTCTCGTTGGTCTTTCTTATAGAAAGAGAGAAAGTAAGCGAATGACCGTAAAGGCACAACGATTTTAAGCATCGTAACCAAACTGAGTACCAAGATGAGCTCAGGAACTTTTAAAGTGCCGCGGCCTTTCGATAATTAGAGGGCACCCATTGTTACACCCGACCGTGCAAGAGAAGACTGCTAAGTGAAACAAGAGGAAAAGAAAAAAGAAATGAAGGGAAAGAGTCAGGTTGGAAACACGTGATCATAAATGTACAGGTGAATAATTTCTCTAATCTACCCAAGTCTAAAGAGACGGAGATGAGAACGGAATATGTATATAGTCTCTCTGTTTATGCGTCACTTCTCTTTGTCGACGCATATTACATTATTAGGGAGTCGAACCCCCTCTGTGAGCATGGACATTTTTATAAGCTGCAATTTAGACCCAACACACTACCTGCTGAATATACTAATAAAACATAAGGCACTGTAAAGTGACGTCCATAACCCATTGCCTCTTTTGCACCATTGTCCTTGACCCTGAAGATGGGTCTATTCGTAAACAGGTCGAAAATAATCTGATCGAACCGTCTCCTATGAATATTTAAGGATCAATAATTCAAATGGTAAATATAAATTCCTTAAAGTATCTGAAATAACTTGATTCATAGCTAGCCATGTGAGGTCATTTAAACTAATTTTATACGTGGCTGGTACCAACCATGGGAAACGTACATTCTGTCCAATTAATACCTGTGTCTGATTTTTCACATATTTACTTTATCATACACCCGGCCATTAACTGGACAAAGTATACTCCTTCCTGCTGTTGGATATTATATATATATATAAAATTCAATACATATATAACGTATATATGAAATATATATAACGTATATATGAAACAGTAGATATTTTAAGATTAGAATGGTATTGGAAGTTCGTGATGCGAACGCATCGAAATGAAGCCGTTGTCGAGAAAAGTTGAAAGTATAGGAAGTTTTTCAGCGTCTGTAGCCGTGGGCTATCGTGCCTCGTTAAGAAGATCTCTTAACAAGTATTTCATAAATCAACGAAAAATAATAAATAAAGCAGCAAAAACATGTCCCGGGTTCATAATGAGCAGAATCCCGTAATTGAGTTGGGGGGGCATAAATTTTCGGATAAAGTGGGCGTGGTGCTCTTTTGATTAGGATTAGTCGAATGGTGTTACAGGGTGCGCATAATGTATATGTATATATGTATTTACGCGGGGTGAACGGGTATATGAATAAGTTATAGGTAATGTTTCTAATATTAGGTTCTATTGTCTGTGGCGCTGAAGGCTTCGTCCCGAACCTGATTTAAGCCGATGGCTTAAACTATTTTAAGACGTAATCTCTTGATTGACTTTCGGTTTTCTATACCGCTCGTTTCAAACGTACCGCCCGAAGGTCCTGACTCCCAATCAGGACCATCTTATACGAATCCACGCTTATACCCATCCATTTAGGATTCACTGAACCAATCCACATTCTTCCTCAATTTCGTATCAATTTCAACGAGATTCCACTTGACAAAAAGTCTTCACGTGAAAGTTTCGAAAGTTTGAAGATCCCTTTGATACGCTTTCACTGTACAGTGATATCAAGATTTTAACCAGACTACAATAGGCGCCTTGTATTTTCTCCTGGCAATGAAAGACAACGGCACTGCTTAAATATTTATATCGGATACACATATAAATATCAAAATATTTCATAATAGCCTGGACTATTCTTCAGGTTGCTGGAGCATAACTCAAATTAAATGCTCAACGACTTACCGAAATAGAAGACGTCGAATATCCGTCATGCTTCACGCTTATTTAACACTCAACATTTTTATTACATTTCATACCACTTTGAATTATATATGTATTTATATATTAATGTGCCATTCCGATAGTTTGTGGACACGGTACCATAAAGCGACGTTCACAATAGCGAGCTGATATTTTTTTATAAAAAAAAAAAAAAAAAAAAACTAAACCTTGGGACGTCACTGCATTAGAATTTTACCCTATTCTAACATAACGTAATGCTTTCTGAGCCCGTAACAGCTCCGAATGCCTAGCATTAAAAAAATTTGAACAAATTTGGTGTATCACACTGCTTTATGGTCCTCAAAACAACCACACGTCCTCAAAGTAGCCAATACGTAAGTGAAATCGCCCTCAAAATAGCGCAATGCCAAATTTATATAAATAATTAATTAAAAATTTTGTTTCCCCCACTCAATTCACGATACACACTCTGCAAAAACTACTCTCTTCGACAAATAACACATATACTCTTGAGAAGCCGAGAATGAACACTGTCTAATTCTGAATATTAATATCACAGAATGATAATTGGTGCAGGTACCAGCCACTGTAGTCTGATAACAAGTTCTCTCGTTTCGGCTTGTCGCGCAGTGCGCATGCGCGCGCCCCTCCGCGACTCTTCTTTGAGGTCATAAAGATAATGCCCACATCCCACCGCAAACACGAGAATTATCCGGATTTCATTTCAATGGAGATCGTTCCTTGCGATTACGCATTGCAGGATAGAGGGTTAGTGGAAAATCGCACGAGACTGCTGACACCCCTAAAAAAACTATGAAAACAGTATATAATTCCTAGGGGTTGGTAGCAGAAACGGTTTCTCTTTGAGCCTCTCTAAATGAATTTAAAAAAAAAACACCCTTCATCTCTGATCCTCGAATGAATACACTGCTTGGCTCGGATGATCAGTGCAGTTTGTAACGTCGCCGTGTACCTAACGAGCGTCTGGCATAAATCAAGCAATTAAACGGACAACTTGCAATTAGCGAGACATCAAATAAGTACTAATTTATTGATATACCTGGCAGAACGACTTCCGAGTGCACCCCCTTTTCGTGGTAAATTAAGTTGCATAGATATGTTGGTTGATTTTGTATAAATTTGTTTTATCGAAATTCACATTGGAAGATTGTCGAATAATTTTTAAAGGTGATTAAATACTTTTGATACTGCGCTATCAAGATATTTATTTTTGATTTTTATAATATTCCACGACTATTACCTTTAATCGCTAGTGGATCCATTGAAATTGAACCTGCTCCGAATATTACTGGCTTTACGACTCATAAAATGGAAGGATCGTGTTTTTAGAGGCTATTACAGAAATTTACCCTCTTCCGTAACATTTACGGCGTGCGCACCATATGTGCTAGACATTAACTATCGAAACTATCTCTGTTCGTCGTCCGCTTCTCGTCACAAGTGAAAACCCTTTCAGAATGAAGATGCAATTATATAATAAATAAAAAAGTTTTTCATCCTCCTCCATATGTTATATAATATAATTTAAAAATGAAACTTTTCATGAAATTCTTGGAATCTTTGTGACATTTATTCCTCAGCTCTTAATTAGCGATTCGTCGTGGAACAGTCGTGTGAACAAGGCCTAAGGTTCATATCGTGTACTCGTGGAACATGTTGGACAGTATGTTAGGCATATGAGGGCATAGGAAATACATATATATTACAGAGCGGCGCTTTGAGAGGAGTTTCGCGTAGGCGCAGGCGCAGTCGGCAGATTTTCTTTTTTAATGAAAAACAGAAAAAAATCATCAAGACTTATTAGGTACCGGCACAGAATCATTTTGTAGGTTATAGTAATATAAGGGATGTATCATTATTTCCTTTTTATTTGACTTTTTTGGGGCCATTAAAAATTTCTTTGTCACCGACCGGCTATTCTTCTTCAAGTTGACATGACGATCGCTTGTAGCTTCATATATCGAATACAAAAGTTAAAACGTGATTATACGTAAAAAATGAAGCTTTTAATCAGTAACCAAATGAGTAACCGTACAGAAATTGCATATCCTTACGAATTTTTAAGAACAATTTATTGCGCTGGCTCAATTATCGAGGGCGCGATGAGCATTTAGACGGTCGCCGATCTCTCATGTGGAGTAACCTTAAAGAATCACCTTCGTACACAGGTATGAATATTAATCGAGGTAAACCGATGATGAAGATTCCAAGATCGCACTTAAGAACTTTTTTATAAGTGATTTTTCGTTAACGCCCATGAAAATAAAAATAATTATTATATGCTTGTTTGAAAATGTATATATATTATACATATATATATAAAGTACTTACGACTTGAATGCTATTTTGGAACTATATGAATTTTCAATTCCCCATACACGGATCCTGAAATAATCAAGAGACAGGCATCAAGTTTTCCGGATTGCGGCGCGCGGTCACGAAGTCAACTTTTTTTTTACCCCGATAATTACCTAAGGCAATTAACCCCGCTTGTAATTAGCTGATAAATTTCGCGTTAATTACACTCAATTACACACGAGCAAGATTGATCGTTCGAGATGAGTTGATATTTAAATTAAAAGTAATATCTCGAAGTTTATGGAAGTCTCGTATAACCCGGCGTACTTTCGCTATGCATTTACATACGCAAGCGATTGTTGTACTCATACACTTAACAATATTTCCCGATTTTCTAAAATTATACTCAAGTATATTTGCTAATTCTCTAATATATATATCTATTACAAAAGTATCTATTACAAACATAACAAGACTAATGTACCGACAAAAGTTTTTCTTTTTATATGCAATTCCTCGACCTAACCTCACATTCAATAATCCTTCACGTAACGCAACCTCACTTACAGTTGCAGTTGCTACCATAGCTGTCGCTCGAACCGTTAACCAGGATTTTCTCCGAAGGATCCAATTGAGCCAAAGGCATTATACGCTGGAGTGCGAAACGTCATAAAACGCAAAACATTTTGCAGCGGCAAATCACGCGCCGTCAAGCATAGATCATAAACCAAGAACCTCAAACCGATTGCTGTGTTCGATTAGTTCATAAGTTACACGAAGCAGATATATTATTACACTACGTGACACATATAATAATAGTCACAGACTACATAAATGCTACCATATTTGTCTAAAATTATCACATTGAATTTATATCTCAACAAAAACAAAGAAATACCCTTTCCCCTTACTTATACACAGTGTACAGATAGTTAGCGATTCTTCACGAATGGAAAGCCTGTAAAAATAATTTTGTCATGGTTCGTCGTAAATCGTATATAAGAGAAGTTGCCTTCTGATTCTTTCTTCGATGTAAATCGACGAAATGGTTACTATACGTGGGCGGCTTTCGCACCCACGAAGGATTCGTTTATCGATTGCTGCCGTAAATTATCGATTACGATCAGGCGATATTACCGATTGGCGTGCGTGAGTAACGCGATGAAGCTTTAAGCACCGCGTAAAATAAAATTGCCATGTAAGATGTCACGCTAGGCGTTAATCTTTCACCGTAAGTCATCGTCGCGATCTTGTGGGCAGATGTGTTCCGTGGGAAATGTGTTTTTAAAAAGGGAGTGGACAATAAGACGTGAAGGGAGGAAGACGGAGGGGGAGAGTGATAAAGATTACAGAAGAAGAGATAAAAACTGACAGATACTTTACCCACGATGCGACGAATTCTTTCTTAAAAAAATAAAATTCCTAGGTGGTTTTATTATATGCATTGAAAGGTGCATCGATGCGTCTTGCGTATTCGCGCTTTGCAGTTCCAGGCGGTATACTATGAACTCATAGTGGGCTTTTATTGTCTCATAAATCACAAGTCTGAAACTGCAGGTAAAACGACGCATTATGCAATCGGATATCATATTTCATGTAATGATGCCTATATGGTATATAATTGCAGGCTCATTTTGCAATATCGCATAACGTGTGTTTACAATCGAGTTTGTACGTCAATAGTTATTAATAATGAAAACGGATCAAGCGATCATTTCTGTCTTATCCATGACTATATCAAATACTGAAGGCACTGCACGTACCAATTATGTTACTTGTTACGAATCTATGATATGTAGTTTGATATAAGTGAAACGTAGAGTAGCAATATACTTGGATTAATGTATTTTATTTGTGCATTGTTAAATAACATACGTGTTTTAATAATTAATTGTTAGATTTATGATCGCTGTATTTTCAGTTTTCTGTTTACATTGCCATGTGAGCAGAAAATACTTCAGGAAATGGAACAAACTCCATATGGAAATAATAAAAGAAACATTTTAATTAATTGAAACATTACTCTGCCAATGACATCGTTTATCGATGGCCGGATTCTTCTGTGGACAGCAATTCGTAGGTTAGTTCACAATACAATTGTATCCGTAAGGCGCATGCGCGAAGAGTCGATATAGGTTTAGAAACTCGAGCGCAAAATATAGCTTTTATAGAATGAAATTTGATAACGCGATTGCCTTCGATTCATCGACGTGCAAGTAAACATGACGCGATCCCATTCTGGCTCCAAGGTGCAGCGAGCGTTCGCATTTGAAAATGAAAAATGGAGCAGCATGAAAGTAACATCGTAATCTTGTTAATGTCTTAATGGAATATCGGATTGCAACTAAATCGCTGCGTCTCTGGCTGAGACAGGCCACTCAATTTTACCTTTGTTCGACGCTAGGCTGGTTCTTTGAACGTTTAGTGGATGAGCACAATGGAGAGAAACGAATGGTAATTATTTAAAGAAATATTGACATCTAAAGTGGTATACATATGTTCCTTGCAAAAATTATATTCTATGATTGTTAAAATAATTTATATAAAGAATGAAATATCCATTATCGACTGATTATAACAGTAATTATGGCTTCTCTTAGAGGGCGCCATGAGCTTTAGCACGTTAATAACTTTGTCGGTCGGTAATGTATTTATTTAAAAGCTGCTTTGAAAGATTAAAAAATCTGTTTCTTTGCAATGATGACCAATTAGTATTAGGAATTGTATTTTTTTAGTTCGCTAACAAAGATATCTAAGAAGAAATTATATAGTTTTTATCAATGAGAATTATTTAAAAAGAAGATAGTAATATAGCTTACCAAATCTTGATTTTCGTTATTTCTGAATCATATTTCGAATGAATCGAATTAATGCTGCGCTCGAGCATGCACATTTTTCTGATGTACTGGTCTCTTTTATATATTGACCACCGGGTGTTAATTCACTGAATTTGTCGACCAGTGAAGAATCATTGATTAATTGTTTTCTTGCCAATAACTTTAAAAGTTTTAGTGTTAACGCACACTTGTGCACCTAACTTACGTATGTACTGAATTCAAAGATTTTCATCGTTTTGAATTGCAGACTTAAGTAATTTTTCTGAAATATGGGCTCCCAATATATTAATAAGAATTGTAATTTCTATAAACTATGTTGTATACCGTCGGTACCGCGATTCACGTATAAATCTGTTAAATTGTAAGGTTCATCACACGTGTTCCTTCACAATCAGCTTTGTTTCTCTTCAACTCTGATCAGGCTCGTAAAAAAGGAACGTTTGACCAATCGCAGGATGTACATTTCTTGTGGACACTTTACGGAATCGGTTAAGCGTTTGTGTTTGAACGTGTTATTTGAATTTGTAAATAGCAGAATCTTACTGAAATGACTAATGAAAAGAACTTTATTGCATACGTATCCACAGAAGAGATAACAATAAATAAGATCCACCTTATATATAGGATTTTACGTTTGACAGCAACTAGGCACAGTGCTACACATTTTATTTCAAACACAGAATACACGGGGGCTGTTCCTATTTGCTAATGTTCTCTTAAAATATAAAATATGTTGAAATCGAAAAAACTTTATCTCACTAATATATATATTTGGTGCTTATATTTGCGATGTTCATAGTATAATTTTCTCGTCAATGAAGTTGCAAATTTGAATGTTGTAAACTACATTACATCTAAAGGCCTGATTTATTCTCAAAATGAGGATTAAAAAGAACGTCAAAAAATGCAAATAGTTTTAATCTGCGTCTTGGAGTTATATGTAGTATATTACAGACATACCAGTTGTCCAGGATGGTAGAAAATGGTATAGAAGAATGTAAATTTCGTACTGTAGTACTATATTTTTTTGTCGATAAATTAAAGAACTACTAGAAAAGAGATAGACTTTGTATTATCTTTTATAATACAAAGTAAAGGATGCAGTGAAGAGGATTTATATCTTACTTTTGAATATCTCAAGGTGTCATTCTCTTTTGTCAATCTGTTTCTTTTCTTTTTATTTATTTCGTACCAGAGGCACTATACCGATTGCATTCTTGTTTTCATCCTGGTTCAGGATCAATCCCATTTCCTGGAGTACTGCACTGTCCACAACGCCGATTTTCGTTAAATTCCGGATGACCTCTTGATTTTCCATATTGTTTTCACATGCGTTTCGTAATGCCATGATACTCCACTGGATTATTACTGGGGTTCTAATGTTAAGGAATTTCAACCTACTATCAAACAAAATAATTTATTGTAGAAAAAAATAAGAGTTTAGACAGGATACGTGGATTTCGTGCGTCGATGTTACAACAGTCTAGAAGAAGAGGAATGCCGTCTGATTCACGCAGCTGGAAAAAAGTTTAGGGATACACTTTAATTTCCTAGAATTCCAAATGTTATAGTACACGATATTAAAAATACGATTTTTCAAAGCGTTAATTATTTGAATCGTACGAATGAAATAATGTTTAAAATATTGAAAAATTGAATCTGTATATGAAAATCTGAATAAATAATTAAATTCTTTTGTGAATAACATGCATATGTACATAATGCATATCTTAATTTTCCACGTAATTGGATCTACAAGTCGCGTAGGCGAATATTTCGTGAAACTTTAAAAATCTGAACCCAAAATGCAGCTTTTACAGAATAAAATTTCATAACAGAATTGTCTGCGATTCATAAATGTATAAATAAACAAAACGTATTCATAATCCGATTTCAACTGTTAAAAAGCATTCGAATTTGACCAAGAACATAAATAAAGTAGCATCAAACAAATATCGATTATATATAATATTTTTTTTTATGAATCGTTACGTATTTTAATAAAATAGGCTGCTTAGGCTAAAGAAGAGATATTAATAATGATGATTCAAATAAGTGTATACATTCTATAAAAATTATGCATCATATGATTTCGATTTATATGAAAATGTAATATGCAGCACCCATCAATTGTAGAATGTAAACTTTAATGATAATTTAGGAACTCTTAATTGCTTTGTAATAAAGATTAAGTAGCTATACCTTTTACTTTGCTTCTACGAAGTATGGTATTAGGCTATTATTTTAGGTAACAACTTTACTAAAAAAATAATATTACTTACCAAATCTTGATTTTCTTTATGTTTATGGATCATATTTCCAATTACGCGGACTAATCCTGCCTTAAATCCAAATGCTGGATGTGCCTGCACATCTTTGTCTTGTGAACTTATACTTTCCTCTGATGTGTTAGTGTCTTTTATCCCTTGAGTACTAGGCGCAAGTTCACTAAGTTTTTGTACTGGTGTAAAATAATTATTTAACTCCTTTCCTAACATTTGCAGCGATTTTAAAAGAACTGTAATAAAAGCATTTTTTTCTTATAATTCAAACATGTTTAGATTTTACTGCATTGATTGATACATTGAGGCGTTCAACCTACATATGCAATTAATTAAAAGACTTTTATCATTTTGAAGTATACAGTGTCCAGACGAGCTTATTGATGTAAGGGCTCCTAAAATGTCAAGTAGTATTGTAACTTCAGTGGGTTCAATGCCATCTAAATATGTATCAACTGTTTTCAATATCAAATCACTCTTCCTTCGAAATTTTTTAGACAAAAATTCAATTGCATCTACTGGAAGATCATTGAGATCATCTTCTCTATTTTCACGGTAAACTGAGTTACGCAATTCACTGTACAATAATTCCAATAAACATAATTTATCTTCAATTTGCATATCCTCATAAGCCAAATGCAATCGTTTAGGCTCCTTCATTAAATGTATCAAGACATCAGCTGCTGCCTTACATCCAAGGCGGACAGGTCTTAGTAACAGCAGAATTAACTGTTTTTTTACACTATCTGTATAATAATTTCCAGATGAGTGTGTCAATGTATTCTGTATATAAGCACAAGCAGCTTTAACTATAGGCATGTGTTCATGCTGAGTAAGATTCCTGCACAAAGTTTTAATTTTTCAATATCATAATGAATATGTTTTAGAATATTATACTTAAGACATACATTATTGTATTTTTAAATGCATCCTCTTCCATACTCTTTGGAATATTTTCATATTCTGGATATATTTTGCTTTTACATGCAAAAGTTGACAAATTGCAAAGAAATTGAATGCATAGTCTTATTATTTCCAAATCTTCAGAACTATTTTCATGATCTGTGGTATAACTCGTAATATAATCTACAGCCCATGTTGCCACTCCAGTATAGGGAAAATGTGTGAAGAATGGGTAGGAAGTTTTCCTGTTTGTATCCCTATTACTGCTACTCAAAACATTAGAAATCTCTGAATAAAGAACATTGTTACACTTTAAGGAAGAATCCACTTCTTCTGTATTATACTCCTTATGTAAATATCCATCAACACAAGAATTCATGAGACACTTCAAAATGATAATTTTAATTTTAACAGGTACATCTCTACGATCATTTGTTAGTGCCTGAGCAATAATTGCCATGATTTGAGGACTAACCAGTTTTCTGAAAGTAAAATGCAATACCAATTATAATCCGTATTAGGTTGTCCAATGAAAATTCAATTCCAATGACTACAAAAGTAAAATGCTAATGTTCTCGTACCCTTGGTCATCCTTGGGAAAGAATTTTGGTTTAAGAATTTGCAACAATTCATCCCAATTTTTCTGCTCTATACAGCTAGCTAATCTATCTGCATTTGACATCATTTTTCCATGCTCATAAGTATTTCATATTAACCTATAAAATCACCAAATAACAATGTAAAAAATTTCAATGCATATAAAGTTTCATTTGCTAACTAAAATATAATTTTTAAGACAACTTCAGAAAACAAAAATGATTAGTAAATACTTATTCCGTAAACAAAATTTACAAGTGTAATTATTTTAACAATAGTACAGCTCACCAACTTCTAGAATAGTATAAAAACAAACAAAATAGAGCTATGAGCGCCCCTTTACCACGGGTGTATTCCGAAATCGTTCTCGGTTCGTTTCAGTAAGAGCACAGTCACACTCGTCCTTCCTTCCTTCCTTTCCTTATGGCTGCCTCCTCAATGAGGAGATGTGCCAGTAACTGGTCCGTAAAAGTCAGGTAGGAGTAGATAAAATTGTCCAGAAAGATGATAGGTTTCTATGTTACTTGGAATTTGTCCATTGTGTAGCCAGCGACACCCGTATATATTACGTAGCTTATGATGTGAGTGAAGCATAAAACAAGGTTTGTATGACGTATACATATATCAATTTATAAAGACCGTGGATATAGAAGCTGAAGATACCGAGACGTGACAAGGCTATGTTTAAAGGTGCAGTATACTATAGGGTGTTCCGAAACTACCTGACCCGATGAGTATAGCGGTGTTCGGGAGGCTTCACTGATCACGAAAATTACCTTCATTTTGTCCGGAAGGTCATAGTTTTTAAATGGGAGCGGGTCAAAATTGACCAGAGGGAGGTGTCAAGAGAAACGTAGACACCTGCGAACTCTGAGTTTTCTTCCCTCGCTTTTGTTTCTCGGTGGCTTCGGGCAGGATGATGTCAGCCGAAGACATGCCGACTGGAAACAAGAAACAAGCTACCGAGAAACAAAAGCGTGGGAAGAAAACTCAGAGTTCGCAGGTGTCTACGTTTCTCTTGACACCTCCCTCTGGTCAATTTTGACCCGCTCCCATTTAAAAACTATGACCTTCCGGACAAAATGAAGGTAATTTTCGTGATCAGTGAAGCCTCCCGAACACCGCTATACTCATCGGGTCAGGTAGTTTCGGAACACCCTATAGTATACTGCACCTTTAAACATAGCCTTGTCACGTCTCGGTATCTTCAGCTTCTATATCCACGGTCTTTATAAATTGATATATGTATACGTCATACAAACCTTGTTCGCATCAGGTAGTTTCGGAACACCCTGTATATATAATCTACATTGCTTCTATATCTATATATAGGTTAGTTATTGACAACAGTGACGCCATCGGCGAAATAGTGAATTTCTTATTTTCGACGCATTTCTGGTGTCGTATTTTCGTTGATTCCCCTATTAGAGATGGGAGTCCTCTACTCTAGTCTCCATGGACTCTATGCTAACAGTCTGAGCAGGCTAAACATGGAAATGTCGTGTGTCCAACAAATAGTTTCTGATTAATTATTGGGACTGTTTATTACGTTTGTTCAAATGATGGCTGTTGTTGACAATGATCAAAAATCAATTTTCTCGCAGATAGAATTTGCATTTCCCATTCTTAATCAGCAGGTTTGCATATTAGGTGTTGTTAACTTTTTCAAACTATTAGAAGCATAAGAGTAATAAACAGTCAATTTTGTGAATATTGATTTTACCTGTACACCATGCTTTTTGCTGTAGCTACAAACTAAATGCACTGATGACCAATTTGCTAAAATAGTCAATGACATAAAAGTCTTGAATATTGCGCCACGTGTGGACCGTCTCGTATTTCAAAGTATCGAACAGTTTATACGATCAAACGTTGCTCCAGTATTTTGGAAAGAGTTTACTAATGTCACTGAAGAGGAGTATGGATTTGAGCGCTTCAAAAATGCGGTTGATGGGCTTTATTCAAATCTTTCGGAGTTTCTACCATTGCTCAAGAGATTGCAAGTATTGCAAGCACAGTGTGAGATTGCCAAGTATTTAGGACATAGTCTATCTAATGTTCTTGGAAGGTTTAATCTAACAGTCAGATCAACTCTACTGAGCCAACTTCCATTTGGGCATGAAACAATCATCAAACAATTTTACAAGATTGCTTTCAATGTATTTTGCAATACTGATTCTTCAATACATGGTACATATCAAGACATTAGATGATTAATTAAACATTTATTTATAGTAATATTTTCTTACAGGTAATTTGTTAGGTGATGGTCCGCAGAGCCAATGTGGAGGCTGTAAATATGAGTTAGAAAATTGCCAATGTCAATTGATAGTATTCATGTTCCATGAAACAAATAGAAAACTTATTGAATTGGAATTGCTTGAGAGACTCGTAGGAAATGTGTTAACTTTATTGATACATATACGAATCGAAAGTCATGTCAGGAAATCTTGCGAAGGAACATTTGATGTCTCACAATTGGAACTACTAGAAAATGTTAGTGTTACCCAGTCAATTTCAAATTTCCTTAGTAAATTTTGATGTAATACTTTTTTATCATATTTATTACAGTGGCTTGAAACAGTTGTCATGAATTGGCTTACAAGAATTTATTCTGGTGGATCATCAAAATCAGTTGCTCTAAGTCAGCCGATTCGCGAAGCGATAAGCAAATTCAAGCAGAAGCTACTACATTTCTTATATGAGACTTACACAAAAATCCGAATTGAGCAATTATTTAATATAATAATAGGTAATTATCCAAATCAGTATGGATCTTCTCTTTGAACATAATGTCAAAATGAAAACGAATTATTCTAATTCATATATTGGTTTTCTAGAATATCCTGATTCTCAGCCAGCAATAGATGATCTTCGAATTTGCCTGGAGAGGACTGATTTACGAAAAGTTCTTGTAGAAACATTGCAGGAGGCATTAAAAACAAGACTGTTACATCCTGGTGTTAATACACCAGACATATTGACGGCCTATATTGCAGCTATAAAAGCTTTAAGACAATTGGATCCATCGGGTGTCCTTTTAGAAACTGTCACTGAGCCAGTCAAGTATGTATCTTCAAAGAGTGACAATTTCTTATTCATAAATTTCTCGTTAACATGAATGAACCTCCTATTGTAAGGGTATATCTGAGAAGTAGAGAAGATACTGTAAGATGTGTCATCAGTGGATTGCTGGACGATTCACCAAGTGACTTAGCAGACGAACTGATCAAAGGCGAATATTTACAGCTGGATGAAGGATCTGTGGAAGAGGAAGATGAAAATTGGGAAAAATGGCTACCAGATCCTGTAGATGCTGACCCTTGTATGTTGTCATATATTAATATTTATTGAGTCCAGTAATTTTTTAAAGATAGCATTGGTATACTATTAGATACATCTTTTTCTTACAGGTAAATCAACTCAGCGTCGAATGTCTGACATTATTTCAATGCTGGTAAATGTATATGGGAGCCAGGATTTATTTGTAAACGAATATAGGACTCTATTAGCGGATAGACTACTCTCCCAATTGAATTATCACACAGAGCGTGAAATTAGACATTTGGAACTATTAAAAAGACGTTTTGGAGAAAATCAATTGCATTATTGTGAAGTCATGCTGAAAGACGTATATGATTCTAAGAGAATCGACGGGAATATCCAATCGGACACAAGTTATACGCTCGAGGAACAATACTTCTTAACGAGTGCACTTATTCTCTCAGCCCAATTTTGGCCACCATTCAAAGAAGAATGGAAACTTCAGCTACCGAAAAATGTACAGGAACAACTGGCGAAGTATGTAAAAGCTTTCGAGGCTTTAAAAGGAAACAGAACCCTCTGCTGGAAGCCGCACTTGGGTAATGTTCATCTTGAGATTGAACTGAAAGAACGAAAATTTGACATAAACGTCACTCCTATTCATGCAACTATTATTTTACATTTTCAAGATAAAAGTAAGTAATTATGAAATTTAATCGTTTATTAATTAAAACTAAATACAAAGGGGTATAATCACTTTTCGTAATTTTTATTCCAATATTTGAATAGACGAGTGGGCAGTAGAGGAACTAGCTGAAGTGATGCACGCACCAGCCACTGTAATACGACGCAAAATTACATTTTGGGTGTCTCAAGGGTTACTCAAGGAAACAACGACTGATGTTTTCGTCCTGCAAGAAGAAAATGCCGTTAAAAACCGTTCAGTAACAGAATCAATAGTTGAAGAAGAGGAAGTTGAGAGCGCCATGGCTTCAGCTAGTGATCAGCGCGAAGAAGAACTTCAAGTCTTTTGGTCTTACATAGTCGGGATGTTAACTAATCTAGACTCAATGCCACTAGATAGGATACACCAAATGCTTAAAATGTTTGCTTCCCAAGGACCCGGTGCTGTGGAGTGCGGGCTACCGGAATTGCGTCACTTTTTAGACAGAAAAGTCAGGGAACACCAGTTACTCCTATCCGGTGGACTTTACAGACTTCCAAAGTCTTGAATAACTGAAGAAGACTGAGAAATTCTTATCATGGTCAACTATTTAAACTGATAATCATTTTCTTTCGAATAATTACGTCCTCAATGATTATGTCAAGGTCTTTCAAAATCATTTTCTTTTGCGATATTCTGATAACGTCACTCCCCCTCTTACGTTGTACTAGTATCGGTTTTATCATATTAACGAGGGCCGAACTTTTTATTTTATCAGATACAAGAGAGCCAGAGTTAGTCAGAGAATGCGTATATCTGTCGCTATTATTAAGTGTGCTATCGACGATATCAATAGATTACAAATTTAATAACGTGCGTAAGGTATCCACCAAGGCTGTAACCTATGCGTAAGAATATAAAGCGTATCCTTGACATTTTTTCGTCCTGGTGTAATTTAAATGGCTCTTTCAATATTTATTAGGCCGTTGAGTGTCATCCTTGGTATATCAGGTTTGGTAAGCAATTACATATCAGTGATAGAAAGACAAGGGTAATATTGATGAGAATGTGAATAAGAATGAGAGGAAGTGTCTGTTCGAATTGTTTTTCTAGATACAAGGACTGATATTGGGTGCTGTGGCAACATTGGCTTTGTTAACACATCTCTGTATTATTACTGTAGAATCGAATAATTCTGAAATACACTTTTTCCCTCTTATGGTGGGAATATACTTTCAAGGTATTTGGTCTCCGTTCTCCATTGCCTCTAACGTTATTGTTCTTTTTAGTGGTAATTTAATTAATTCCAACATCTTTGACAAGTTTTTATTCTATTGTATAATTTCAGGTGATGATTGTCATGTATATAATACGACTACAGTTCACGAAATACTTCCTAACATTATACGACCTGGGTGGCTATTCTACTGGTTTATATGTTACATCGTAATTTCGTTATTATGGGTTGTGTTTAGCATTGTTATTATGTGTGGTGAATATCAGTAATTCAATGACAATCCATTTGATGCCTGAAATATTCGTTACTAATTAGAACAACGAATTATAGTTATATGACATTTCAGGGCCTATTTATAAAAAGAAGAAGCTGCACTACTTTCTAGTGCCGTGGATTATCTTGACTTTGGGGATTTGCTCAGTGGACAGTGCTCTGACCTTATACTTCGGGTATGACTTTGCGGATTATCAAGTGAGTATTATAATTTTGTTGTTACAATGCATCTTTGAAATAATTTCTAATTTTTTATTTTGTTTAGAGCATATTACTTTCGGATGACGCCGTCAATCTCCCGACGTTATTACCAATAGTAATGGTCACCATGGCTATTTTGGCTTCGAAGGGACTCGTTCTCTGGCTGTTAAATTTACTTAGTGTAATTATTGCTTTCTGCATTACTTGGAATTACGTCGTACACAAAGAGGACAATAGACCTCTCTTCCTGGAGCAGGCTGGGTACCTAGATAGCAGTCCAATAGATGCGTTTTCGTCAGGCATTTTGTAAGAACATTTAATTAGCTCTCTAAGCGATGAGACTTACGAGATATTACTTTTTTATTTTCGTTGTATTGTATTGAAGTTTCATCTTATCGTCCTATTCTTATTTTTTAATCATTTAGTGAAGTAAGGAAGGACATTCATCTATCGGATGCAGCATACGCACGATTCTCTGATCTGGACGCTTGGCCGCGAATTGATTTTCGGAGTTTTGAGGTCGAGGATAAATATACAGCATAATCGCTATGCGTAACCATATCAACAACAACAAATTCCAGGAACGTTTACAGGACAACGACATATAAATATCACTTGTGCAACAACTTTCACTTGACACTTTCCCTGGCATAGAGTGAGTATTTCTCTGAAGAAAGACTCGTACAGAATCTAGAGGATTCTTTGATAATCTCTTCCTTATTAGGTTCCATATTTTTAATAGAAGACGTAGTAACAATAGCAATAATAGTAGCTTTATTATTATTAGGCTAATAAGAAGTTTGCAATACTAGTATTAACAAGAGTGAAGGAGAAACAAAATGAGAACGCAAAAAAAATTAAGAATTTTATACAAATTTATTGACGAGCATTGCGATGAACGATTAATATAGCATATCTGTATTATATAATACTATGAGTCAAGTTTACCATTTACAATTTTGAAGGAAACATAAATACTAGTGAATTATTTTCTGACGAAATTTATCATGCTTTGGAATGATTATTATAATGAACGCATTAATAAATGAACAGGATTACCATTTTTTAATTATGTAGATTTTTCGTGGTTGATCCTGAACTCTTTTTCGAGGCTTTCCTAGAAATCTTTGATCCCGAGGGAGGCCTTCTCCGTTCGGCAGCCACCGGTGTGCTTGGTAATTTAAAGAAAATGGCTTGTCATGGTGTGAAAGTGATTTGAATATACGTATAGGTCGTCCTGTATTTGTATGCAAAAATTTGTTTGGTACGTTTCCATATTGAGGTCGTCTTCCAGGGACATTTTGCAAACTTGAACACAGTACAGGTTTTTCCACGGCAGAATTAACTAGTCTAGAAAAACCAATAGTTTGTGGTCTACCGGAATTCCGATACCTATTTCCACTGGGTCGTACTCTGTTTCCCGTCCATGGAGAATAATTCACAGAATTCATTTGTTGCTGATTGTAATTTTTTTGGCCTTGATGTAATGGAAGATTTTGCAAACTAGAAGCTGGTCTAATCGGATTCCTATGATTTGTTATTACATCGAGTTCCTTATAGTTTTGATGATACGCTTCATTACCATCCTTAATATTAGGATCAGGGAATGGTTGGGAAGGTACAAATCCTTGCAGAGCCGTAGGAAAATTGTTCTGCTTCTGTGAGTCCTTTTCATACGGATCATTTCTAATGAAGTTGTTCGTTTTAGGTAAAAAGTCAGTTCTTGATCCCTCCAGATGCTCTTCCCGAATTTTATGTCTCACATAATTTCCTTTTACCCTTCCAGGATACTTGCTTTTACGATTGTGAGGAGTATCATCAAATTCCGGTGGATTGTAACTCAAGCTTGTATCAATGGGATCAACAAGATCAGCGGAATCAAAATATTCATCGTTCTCTAATTCACCTATTTCCTTATCCAAATTGTATAAATTTCCAAACCAAGGATCGTCACTCAAATCATCTATTGATTCTTTTTGCGGTGAATTTTCCTCCTCGTCAAGACTTGGTTCTTCATTATTTGGATACAACTTTGATGACTCCTGTATTAGCTTGATAAGGTCATGACTATCCTTGTCGAATTGAGGAACCCTATTAGAGGCGGCAGAATCTGATTCGTTGATTTTGGAACGAAAAGATGAAACGTCTTTATAAGAGCGTAAAGGAGTCACTGTAGTTATTTTAATTGAAGAGATATCCGGTCGAGGTGTAATTATAGAGGCTGCTTGTTCACTTCCGGATTCATCTGGTTCTTCATACATGTTCTCCATTGACGACCATTCTTCTGTTTTAATAGGATAAAAGAAAGAGATAGCTTCTTAAAGACGATAGCTTGTGTGATAAAAAGATTAAAAATTATAGTTACCGCATTCCACTGCACAGGGATACATCTTCTTTTTGACTCCCTGGTAATAAAACGGATGTAGATAATTCTGTAATTCAAGATGCAACAGATCACTCTTCTTTTTCAGGTCTACTTACTTTACTTTTTAATTTTACTTACGCCATAGCCGACACTAGCTGTCACCTCCTTTTTCATTGGGTACTGATATCTTTTATCAAAGGTAACGGCATTTCCAGCTGCCAACTGCAGACTAAATAAAAAAATTACTGTCAAACAGGCAAATTACAGTCAGAGATTTTAAGCAATAGAAGTCAAAATTATGTAATTACTCAAAAAGTTCTTTGGAACGAGTATCGCACAAGGATACAAGGAACAGGAGCATAGACAAAGATGGCTTCCACAGGGAATTCTAAAAGACCATATTATAGGATAACAAGTATATAAATATTTGTATATATTGAAGAGAGATATTTTGTATTTGCGTTAATTAAAATAATTGAAACATACTATGATTTCAAACGAGCGTCGTTCCAATTTCAACATCCTTGCCTGGTTTCTTCTTTGAACTGAAGCTTGTTTATCAATCTGTCTTGTTTGAGTCACACCAAATACGCAAATGAGTTTCAGATCGACGGCCCTGGCTATTTTGTGTGTCATCTTCGCGGTGTATTATACGCTCCAGTTCAGCTAGAACTTTGACGAAATGTAACAGTACGACAATCAGTCAGGTACAGACCTTCAAATAGAAAGGAGAAGGAGAAGTGGAGGTCGCGGGCCAAGAAGATTAATCAAATGAGGAAGTTTTCCATTGAAAGAACATGGAAATAGCGGCATCAAAGTATGCATGAATGGAGAAAGTATTGTGGTTAATGCACGAAAAAGCGCTATAATTTCCTTAATATCCAGCGATAATGAAGGAGCATAAAGCATGTCGAGAAGAGTTTCTCACATTTTATGGATTTCCCCTTCATTGGCTCGAAACTTACCACGCACTTCACGTAACTTTCCCAAGAACTTTCTTTTCATTTATTGAATGATTTAGTTCTTATAACAGATTGGTTTGTTAATATATTGTAATAAATAATTGATATTACTTTGACGTTATCATCTTTGAGATGTCCTTAATTGATTCATTCGATCACTTAAATCCGGATTCACTAGGCGAATCTTCTGGATTTATATGTTAATTGATTACACGATTTTGCGTTGATTTCGTATTTCCCTCGTTATACAGTAACGTCCAATTGAAGTGCAACACTTGAATTTTTTTACATTTTGGGAAAGTATGATAGATTTCGAAAAACCAAAGACATGTTTTTAGGAAATTTCCTTCATGTTCGACTGGTAAAAGTTTTATCCCGATCGGATACAAAATGGCCGAATGGCAGGGGTTGGAGTGAAAAAGTGCATTTTGGAACTTTTTGAAAAATTCAAGATCTAGTAGTTCCGGAAGGAAATTCGTATTTCTAATTAGGGCACGAGAGAGAGCATCCTTCGGCATTAAAAAAAAACACCCCCATTGAACCCCTGTAGGATCACTCTAGGGGGAGTTGCGCCCCCTTGAAGTGAAAACACTTAAATGGCCATAACTTCCGAACGTCGGCCAATCTAGTCCAGTTTCTGCATGATATCATCTTTAATGATACTACAGATTCTCACAAAATTATTGTTCTCGAAGATGATTCCGTGACCGAGATCTTGAGATTTCGCAAGCGCACCCGAAGCTTCCCCGCCCTTTTTGATTAGGAATGCGATGAAATAGAAGTTTCATATTTATTACTACTACCCTACCACGCGCGCCAAGCAATTGTCCCTCGAGCGCCTCGAGCGGAACTCGCAAAATTTAGGCGTTTTTTCAAACGGATAATTTAACCCCTTAGCAAACTCATATGTGGATGTGTAAAGGCGCGTTTTAATCGTTGAAATCTCAGCTACAACGTCGATAAATATGAAACTTCTATTTCATCGCATTCCTAATGAAAAAGGGCGGGGAAGCTTCGGGTGCGCTTGCGAAATCTCGAGATCTCCGTCACGGGATCATCTCCGAGAACAATAATTTTGTGAGAATCTGTAGTATCATTAAAGATGATATCATGCAGAAACTGGACTAGATTGGCCGACGTTCGGAAGTTATGGCCATTTAAGTGTTTTCACTTCAGGGGGGCGCAACTCCCCCTAGAGTGATCCTACAGGGGTTCAATGGGGGTGTTTTTTTTAATGCCGAAGGATGCTCTCTCTCGTGCCCTAATTAGAAATCCGAATTTCCTTCCGGAACTACTAGATCTCGAATTTTTCAAAAAGTTCCAAAATGCACTTTTTCACTCCAACCCCTGCCATTCGGCCATTTTGTATCCGATCGGGATAAAACTTTTACCAGTCGAACATGAAGGAAATTTCCTAAAAACATGTCTTTGGTTTTTCGAAATCTATCATACTTTCCCAAAATGTAAAAAAATTCAAGTGTTGCACTTCAATTGGACGTTACTGTATATTGAGGGAAAAAGTAAATGCACTTAGCATTTACACGCACTTATTTTTGCTCGGTCGCTCTTTTTAGAAAGATATATTTATGTATGTGTACCAGGTACCATGTGTGCAATTATACTATGGGGATTTTTTTCCAGTTTAAGACTTGATTCCATCAACAGATTTATTGTTTCAATTCGGTTTAGCTGTTAGATTAGCTTCTAAGTACTTTCATTTTGAAGATAAACGGAGTTTACGTATTAAACTGTGTCGGAGGAATCTGACCTAAAAGTGACAGTCACTCAGTGCCAAGTTTATTGGATTCATGAAAAAAAATGTTAACACTTCCATTGAGAAGACATGATTACAGCATTGTATTTGTCATATTTGTATACATATAAAAATATGAATAATATAATAATAGTAAAAGGCTAGGTATTTAAGGAACATTCTGATTATTTACAAAGAGATGAACTGTACAAACGTCTACGTAAAACATCTTAATTTTTCCTGAAGATACTGAGTCTACGAGCCCGTGGAGTTCCTGTAACATTCTATTAAAAAAAAAATACATTAGCTGATTCCTATAATAGAGGAATCTGAAGTATCAAAGCATCATCCGCCATGTCTTACGAAGCAAGGATTGTCCACATGGAAGAGTATGTCCGATCTCGATTATCGTGAGAATTTAAATGACAAATGAACTGTGATTCATTCATATAGGCTCAAAGTTCAAGGAGAGGAAGAGGAAGATGAGGAATCGTTCGTGGAAGTAGCATGATCGTGGTGACTGCCTCACCTCATCTTTTCGCCTGGAAGACGAACTTGAAAAAAGATCCTTAAAAGTTCTTGGAGTCGTCGTCATCCTTCTTTCTACATTCCTCTCCCGGAGGATTCTGGATTTAGGACTGAACAGCTCATTACCCTTTAACGGTATAACGAATATAAACGATTTCACATATACATAATATAGGTGTACTTGAGATATTGTGTAACATTAAAAGGAGAAGACAAAAGACGATGAAACAAAAAACAGAGAAAAGAGTACAGTATAGCATAGAATAAAACAATGTAAGCAAAGACTAAACAGGTAGAGCTGTTCACCTGTAATGATAACCTGCCGCCATTCTTACTGGGAGTAGGAGGTCCAGGTCTCTTATAAGATGTCTGCAATTCACAGCCGAATGTTATATGATAACCAAATAACAATATTCACATAACAGGCGGTATATAAGATGAGTCCTAAAACTTACCTGCGTTCGATCTCGCTTTTTTGTCTTCTGTCCCGGTAATAAACTTTGACTGAGACTATCGTTGAATACGTCATCCGCACCCAAGCCATGCTACGATAATGTTCAATAAACACAAGATACAAAAGACTGACATGCACTGTCACAACGATAATTATAATTAAATATTTACCTTGATATCATCTTCACTGAAAATGGTTGAATGAAATTGTGTTTCAGCTGGATAAGATGACTTCAGATGAGGTTTGCAGAGAGCATTTCTTTGCTGAAGAATCGAGACCCTATCAGGGTCTGGGATTAGCAGGTTACGACCTTGCTTCATATCCGCTGGAACATTTACATTTATTTCAGTTAAGCCTTGAAATACCCAATGAAAAATATCTTAAATTTCAACAAAAGAAAAAGGTTAGAAAGAATTACCAAGGCAGGTGTTATCAAAGATTTCACCTTCCTCATCCTCTGCCTTAAACGCGTTACCCATTGCCTGAATATTCCTAACACTTCTTTGTCTAGCATACGTTGTTTCTTCCTTAATAACTTGTATAGTACGTGATACTCGTCTGGAAGAATCTTCTAAACTATCATTTGCAAAGTCCTTTCTGTCCAAGCTGGAAATATACTTTAGAAGATAAAGGTTCCCGGATTTTGAAAATACCTAAAATTAAAGAAATGCTTGATTTAAAAAGAAATTACCTGGAAGTCCTGTTTTGCACTATTGCGGCCATTTTATCATACGAATACGGTTGGGTGAAATTGTCAGCTCTAGATTTTGTCTTATATTCTTGGAGCTTCTTCAGGACGGCTTCCTTTTCGTGTTTCTCATTTAAGAACTTCTCACTTACGTCCCAATATTTGTTTGTCATGTCTGTCACATGTTTTTTATACTTTTCTATCTCTTCAACGTGTTTTCGATATTGTTCTGTCATTTTTATCTGCATTGACTCGGCTTTTTCCTGGAGGGCTTTATCCTGGTCGCGATTTAACTTCTCCACTTGTTCATTATAAGCAGCTTTCTATTAATGCAGGAAAAGTATTTATGAAAGCGGGTACATTATTTAAAAAATTTGGAATTGTTAAAACTTACCATTTTTAATTTAAGCTTTTCTAGCTTCTGGCCATATTCTTCGTGAACATCTTTTAACCTCTGGTCGAAATCTTCTTCCTTGGGTCTCTTGCTTAGTTCATCGCGTTCTAATGTAAGGCGCTGAATATCACCCTGCAAGGATTCTATTTTATCCGTTAATTCTTTCTGGCTTTCGTCTGAGGATTTTTCCGTCTTGAATTTTTTTATTTCGTTCCTTAAATCGTCCAAATTCTTTTCCAGTTTTGTGTTTCTCATACGAAACAAATCCAACTTCTCCTTCAACTCTTTCTTCTCCTTGGACGACCTGTCGACTATCTGCTTCTCCTTTAACTTTGCTTTCGCTTGAATAATCTTTAAATTTGTCTCATAAGAACTAGCTGAATTTGCAAAATTTTCAATCTCTTTTCGAATAGTTGCCACATTGTTACGTAAAGAATTAAATTTCTCCATTTCTACTGCCAGAATTGATTTAGCATTTTTCAAATTTACGTTTTTAATGTCCTGTTGGAACACCTCCGTGTCGAAATCCTCGACAGGATCAATTCTAGGAGCAAGAAAATTAGTCTGAAGAATTTTTTCTGTCCACAAAAACGATTCCCAAGTTATATCCATGACGGGTAACAAACAATCTAAATATCCTCCATTTAAGTCTAATATTTTCTTTTGCAATTCTTCCTTCTTAATTCGCAATTGCTTTGATTCATCGCATATGGATGAGTCATTCGTCCAAAAATCTTGAAACTTCTCGAGTACTTCAATCCAGTATTCTTTAATGGAATTAACATCAACATTTAAAAGATTTCTGAACGTTATCACCTTTGAGATTAATTCCCATAGTGATTCCTTTCGTTGTATCAAATTTCTACAACATTCCTTGATTGTCTTCAATTCTAATTTTTCATTATTCAAATTGTCTTCCAGTTTTTTTAGCTTAATAGTGTCATCGCTAATGCGATTTTGAAAATCACAACACTTTTTCGTCAAATCGGTATATTTCTTTTCTAAGTCGAAATACTTATTCTCCATGTCGGTATAATTGTTTTCCAAATTTGTACATTTGGTTTCAAATTCTTTACAGTTTTTCTTCAAGCTGCTAGACTCATTCTCCAAGTCGACACATTTCTTCTCCATATCGCTACACTCATTCTTGAGCTGAGTACATTTGTTGTTTGTATCGCTCAAGTTGTTCTTCAAAACATCGCACTTGTTCTCCAAGTCTCTATAGCTATTCTCTAAGTCGCCACACTTGTTCTCTAAGTTTACGCGTTTGTTACTCAAGTCAATATATTTGTTTTCCAAGTCAATATATTTAACTCGTAAGTCATTGTACATCGTTTCTATTTCAGTTTTAGATAATTTTTCTTTCTGAAGCTCATCTTCAAGTGCAGCTTTTGTGACCTGGAATTCTTTCCGAAGCTCCTCAAGTTGGTGATTGCTTTCCTGAAGAGCCAATGCGCGAGCCTCCAGTACGGCATCGCGACTAGCACCAATTTCCTGAAGGTTCACGACAATCTCTTTCATCTGAAGTTCGCGTTGTCGCTGTTGTTCCAGGAGTCGTTCATTTTCTATCCTATGGTATTCTCGTCCACTTAATAAAGCTTCATTTCGTTCACCTTCGGACTTAATTTCTTCCAGGGCAATAGACAATCTTCGTCGCAGAGAATCTTTCTCTTCGTGTAATGAACTTAAATCCATAGATAGTTCGGAAATCCGTAATTTTAAGGAGTCTATTAATTTATCAGTTTCGATATTAGTCATTTTTAATCGATCTTCTAATGATTTCTTCTCAGATTCCAACTGTTCTATTTTGACGTTTGATCGATCCAATTCATTTTGCAAGCTGAGCATATTCATATTTAGCTGATTACTAGTTTCCGATTTCTCAGAGAGTAGTGTTTCTAACTCAACATTTCTTTGTTGCACATTTCTTAGATTTTCATCTTTAGCAGTAATTTCAGTGTTTAGATTTATTCTTTCTAGGTTCAACTCTTCCAATTCCTTTTGCAAAGTTTGATACTCAGATAATTTTTGTATGGATTTTGCAATTTGACCCTGGTAATCCATGATTTTCTGACTGAAGTTACGTTTGGATGATTCGGATTCTTCAAACATGATATCCTTCTCATTCTTTAAATCATTTACACGCGATGTCAGGGACTCAATTAAGGATTTTCTATCATGTAATTCACACTGCAATTTGTTAATACAGTTGTTTAGTGATTCTCTCTCTATATTGAATTCCTTCAAGTTGGTTGCTCTTTCTATTGTGTACTTGGATACGGTTTCTTCCAGTTCTTTGGTCTTCTCTGCAGAGTCTTGAAGACGGTCTGACATTTTAGTCAATTCTAAAGTATTTTCTCCATCTTTTTTTTCCATGCTTTTGACTTTTTCTTTTATCATCAAAATTTGTGTATTTGCTTCCTTGAGTTGAATGTCCAGTTGTTTGATTTGCTTTTCTTTAGAGTCATTCACTGATTCTAAGGAAGTTATAAGATTTTCAAATTGTGTGGATAGTTCTGTCGGTGGACAATCATTTACATCGAGAACATCCTTACGTGATAATCGTGCAATTTTCATCATGAATCCCTTTGCGTCCGTTACGATATTTTGTATATCAGAGTTTAAGGAAGAGTTTTTGTTTTTTAATTCTTTGATTTCTTCTTGAAGACTATTAACACGTGCTGAATATTCTAACATTGAGCTTTCGAAATTCTTGATCTTTAGATCAGAGGTCTTTATTTCTTTCAACAGTTTAGCCTGCTCCATAATATTTTCCTCATTCTTCTTTTCTATAGTACAAATTGTATCGTTCAATGTTGATATTGTAGTATTTGCTTCTATAAGTTTAACATCAAGTTCCTTGATTTCTATTTTCTTACAGTCATTTGCTGACTTCAACGAAGATATCAAATCTGTGAATTGGCTGGATAGTTCGCCAATTGTTAAATCTTTTAATTCAAGATCATGTTCCAGTGATAAACGTGCAATTTCATTCATAAATTCTTTTGTGGTTTTTGTAGCATATTCGATATTAGACTTTAAATGAGAATTTTCAGTTTCCACTTGCACCATGTTCTTTTCAAGACTCTTAATTCTACTAGTGTATTCCACGACTACGCAATCAACTAATTCCAATTTTCTGGACATCCCCTCCAAACGTGCTCGAAGTACTCGAGCCTCTTCCCTCGCTTCCTGGAGTTGAATGTCAATAACAGAACTCAAAACTTCACCATCGTTTGGTAAACGCAATGAAGAATTTGCAGCAACAAAACTATCAACTTCAAAACTCTGCTCTCCCATAGATGCTTTTCGCATTTCTTGTAGGTGACTACGCAATTCTTCATTCTGTAATTCAAGCTCTAAGAGTTCCCGTTCTTTAAGCTCTGCTCGGATAGACAGCGTCTCCAATGAAAGCTCTGTACGTTCGAACTTTTCTTTGAGTGATGAGAATTGTCTTGTGGAGGATGCAAGGTTCTTTGTTAGATTCTCATTCTCATCGGTAAGTTTATCTACCTCTGCTCTGAGACTCGCAGAGTACTCTTCAAGAGACTTGATTTCTTTTCTGTAACACTCAATGCTCTCGCGAGTGTTCTGCTTCTTAGTGGAAGAACGCGGCGTCATGGGTTTAGATCTTAATTCTTCACGTAGAACCTCCAATTCTCTAGATTTATCACTATACCTCCTCTCTAAGATTTGTATTTTCTTGCGTTCGGCATTTAACTCGTCTTGTAAATCAAATTTTTCAAATCGTTCAGACTCTAAGGCCGATTCCAAGCGTCTAATCTCACGAATATGCTCATTTGCAAGTCTGTTATTTCTTGCAGAACGCGCAACAGGTGAATTAAAGAATCTTTTGAGAGGTTGAACTTTAGGGGTTGCTGGTGGTGTTTTTGGGGTGTCATCACTAAGTTCAGAGATTGCCATCATTAGAACATCAGGAGTTAAATCTTTGCCATATCGAAGTACACACTCCAGGAATATTTTAATTTTGACCTGTGTCTCAAGATGCAGCTTAAGACACATCGGTCTCTGAAACTCATGTTCTTGTGATGTTCGTAGAAGTAACAATGATGTAATACTAATGACGTCAAGAGCATGGCTATTGTGATCTCCAACCAGAAAATTAGGATACTCTTCTGCAACACCAAAGACATCATTGAAAAATACAGAATCGAGTCATTAAAATATAAATATTTAAATGATACAACCTTGTATAAATTCATAGATGAAATCTTCATTATTTACAAAATGATCTTTACTTTTGCATGACCTATTAAACACAGTATAATAAATGAATGAGTGCCCAAACTCTATTATCAATCAAACAATATCATTATTAAAACTTACAATAAACTAATTAATTTCTCATAAAACTTTCCATCGTGTAATTCTTCTAAACTACTTATAGAGGTATCTAGAAGTTCCAAGCAATTCACCTAAGAAGAAATTTAATATATTAGACACCTTAATGAAACAAGTCTTGTTAATTTATGAATATATAGAATTATTTCTCATTATGTTTCAACTTTACCCATTCAAGAATGACTTGTGACCACGTCTCCATTGCTTCCACTATTTAAATATTATTATATATAAACTTAGCTGCGAATAAAAATATTATAAAGCTATGTATTCCATCTACTGCTGTAGGAAATTGTAACGTTTTCAGTATTTGATTTGAAACGACTGTTGCTTGGTTTTTGCCATGGATGGCAGTTACGAGAAATTCAGTGATTGGTTCTCAATAATGTACTAGAAAAAAAGTCCTAGATTGCAAGACGCGTATGCACAGCCTGCAACGATGGCAATGGCGCAGAATGAACGATAAGTTGACTGGCGCATCTCAAAAAGCATATTGAAATCTGTTTCCTGATATTTTGAATGTAACAAGAACACGGAAGATACAAAACTCCGTACGTAATATTAAATATTAGTCCTTAAGGTCCTTTATAATTATTGTACAAAACAGAGATTGTTGAAAGAGAAAATACTTATTAAAAATAAATATTTACGTCATCGTACTATGAATCACAACAGGATATTGCAGATAATGTTCGACGTAATTATAACTAGACCTGGAGGTTTATAGGCATCAATAATACTTAAAGTAAGTTCTTCCGAAACAATTGTAAATTTCTAAAGTCAAGTATTTTGTACTACGGGATTCCTTAGTGCCATCATTGGAACCGCTACTGCGGTTCTACGCCGTTTCAGTTTTTTACATTTTTTATTGGGTTTCGCAAAATAACATTCTCTTACAAATTTGATACAATTGATTAAGGAATAGCGTAAGGTAACTTCATATTATATAGAATAGAATACTGTGATATTAACTGATTATTTTTATTTAGGCTCGATTCCAGAAACACGGTTTATTGTGTAAACTCCGTTTGTCTTCAAAATGCAAATGTCAATTTAGCTAATAGCGGAGTAAAACCGAGTTTGAACAAAAAACCGCATTTATGGAACCGGGTATAAGAAACCATATCATTACAGGTTCATAGGTGTCAATACAATGCATTCATCTCAGGCAGGATCCAGCTCTTCTACAGGTCCACTAAATAGCCTCCTCAAAGCTAATTTTAGGTCAGGATTCAGTTCTGAGAGTCATCTGCAAAGCCTTGGTTTTACTATGGATAATGGAAAGCCAAGATTTAGATTGGACGAGCCTGTTTCTGGTGCTTTAAATACTTTGCACAAACCCAGTTCTACCTCCATTGATACTAATGAAACAGATTCATTTGTTGTATTGGGAAAAAGCTCTTTGGATTCTATCCAAGCAGCCTCTATGGCATCTTATGCTCAAATACAACAAAAAAGTGTATCTGCTGTAAATAAAATAATACTTGTTTTATTATGATTAATTATATACAATAGTTACATTATCGAAACAGAATATCATGTTATATGTTTTTAGGATTATGAGTCCATGATATCAGCTTTAAGCCCTGAGGAGATTCAGCACAAGCTCTGTGATCTGCTCGAAGAAAATGCAAAGCTGAAGGAGACGTTAACACAGAATAATCTTGCTATGAAACAGCAATTCAACACACTGGCTACATGGCAGGAGGAAGTAATGAAAGTTCACCAGAGTCACAAAGAAAAGTTTGCAGAAACAAGGGAATTGATCAATCAATTACGCAAAGAAAATACTGATTTAAAGAATCGACTCAGTGTGAACCATGAGCTATGCCAAGAATTGACTGAATCGACCGGTAAAACACGTGAGGATCTGGAGGAAGAATTGTCTATCGCAACTAAGGAATTAAATGAATGCAAGAACAACCCTGGCCAAATTATCCAAGCTTATCAACGCCTGATGGACAAATCAAGCTCATCGATTCAAGAAGCCAAAACAGAAGACTGTGATTTGGAGGATTACAGTCTTTTACCACGACCAGTCAGTGTGGAGCACAAGCTGAGTGAAAAGTATCAACGAAAAAATGAAGAAGTCAAATATTTAAGAGAACTAATAGCTTCGCTCGAAGAGCAACTTCGTGTCAGCATTTCAAAAGTAAGCCTTATTATTTGATTTATTTATAATTATAATTATACAGAAATAATTATGATATACATAATGTATAATGAAAAGTTCATATATTTTAGAAGCAGTCTAATTTATATGTAATTTACATGTTATTTTATTTCAGGCTTTCGCACCAATTCAGATAAAGGCAGCATGTCAACCAGAACAAAAGCCCTGCGAAGAACGTGAACAGTTTTTGCGCAACTTAAAGCAATACGATGAGAAATTACGTGCCGTGACAAGTTATTTTGCACATCAAAGTTCACGTTACACAAGTATTCAAGACTGTCTTAAAGAGAGCATCGATATCTTACAGACTTTTGAAAGCATGAATGCTCCTGTTACTTGCACAACGTCTGGAGAACGTTCTTTAAATTCAGGAGATGCAGAATCGCTCATAAAACGATTAGAAGAGTGTCGAGAAAGACTTATAGACGAACAAGTGAAAACCATCAGCGAACGTCAGGATTTGATCAAGGCTCAAGGTCAAATTCAAAAGGTTTTCTCAGATTACAATTCCGTCCTCTCTGAGCTGGAGATCATGTATGCAGAAAACGCAAAATTAGATGCTCTCAGGATACAAAAAGAAAAGAGTGTCTTGGAGATAGAGAAGCGCATCGAGGAAGACAAAAATACTTTAGAATTAGAAAAGAATAGTTTGGAAGTAGAAAAGTTCAGTCTCCTAGAAAGTATAAATACAATGAAAAAAGATCGTCTATCTTTGGAGAACGAACGCAAAAATCTCCAAGCAGAAACGGAAGCTCTTCGCCTCGAGCGAACCGCTTTGGATCAACAAAATGCATTATACGAATCAGAGAGAATGTCGTTGTTAACGGAGAAAAAAACGCTTCAGAAAGCAAACGAAAATATACAAGCTAAATGTGAAGACTTACAGGAAATTATATGTACTAAAGACGAAATCGTTGATGCATTGTCAGAAAGGATAAAGAGTCTAACAGAAATCGTAAGCACTATACATTAATAAATATTTATCGATCATTGATTAAATAAAATATCATCTATAAACTTCTTTCCTGCATTTTAGGTGGAGGATGTTCCTCTCCTGAGAGCGCAACTAGAGATCTATCAAAATGATTTTAAGGAAGAGAGAGAAGCACGTCAAAAATTAGGCAACGAGAAGGACACGTTACTTGAGAATCTACAGTCAGCTCAAAAATTAAATGAGGAGTTAAGGAAACATATTGTGGAATTGCAAAGACGCAACGGTGGTCAAGCTTCTTCGTCGCCAGGTCAACAACAATTCCAACGAGTAAGACTGATTAATAATGGAATAAAGATTTTTCTTAATTCACTATCTTTTCCTGCACCTGCGAATAATTTTCCATTTTTTTATTCGCAGGCTGATGGAGAAGATGGGGAATATGTAACATTACCATTACTTTGTCCAAATTGTAACAGCCATTTCGAAGATATGGGACAACTACAGACTCACGTGGAGGTGTGCTGGCACCTCAATTAAGACAACCCTTCATGAGTACATTGAATGACGTAATTTGTCACATATGTTTGCAACAAAAGGATGGAAAAAGCGATCACGGATTTTCAGTGTGTCAGCCCGAAATAGATTGAGATCTTACAATAGAAAATCCTTGAGTAATTTTAAGAACAAGAGAATAAGGAAGAAGAGAAAGTTCCGGTGTATTCCTTAAATTTAATGCTGTGCCATCAAATAAATCCTTAAAAGCTTCGTACGTTTCTGCACTGATATATAAATTCGACGAGCTCCTTATTATCTGCGATTTTCATGTCAATACTATTTATTTCTCAACGACGTGCAAAATTTTTATGTAATTTTATGATATACAAAATGATACAAGGAAAAAATATATTTTTATGCGCGTCGATGTTGACATATTGGCTCGTGTCACGCTGTTATCTGTATGGGTCAGAGACCACTGCAGCTTTCTTTTCACATTTTTTAGATCAGTGACAATATTTTTATGATATTAGTAAAAAGTGTAATGTATCTATGTTAAAAGTGCGACATTATTTTCTGATAAAGAAATAAAAATATATTCAACTGCAATCGGGAAATCATTTATATATCCTGTTTTATCCAAGCTTGTGTCAAGTATCCTATTTACATCTGAACCCAATGGCTCTTCCGAAGAAAAATTTTCCATTGCCAATGCTCGTTTGACAAAAGTAATAAACGGTTTTCCATTGATTTACCACGCATTACATTTGGCAAAAAAAGGATTAGCAACGGTAATTTTTGCTACGGGTTTCCTGTAATACATAAAATATTTCTTCTCTTAAATGGAATATTACCCTCAACGGTAGCTTGCGTTGCTTTCTGCCCTACCTTAACCGTTACAATCTTAAGTGAAAGAGAATTTTCCATATATAACAGTACCTGCCTAAACCAATGTTATTGTTCCATACCATTACAAGCAAAACGTCATGTAATTATGAACGGCAACGGGGATTTGATCATTGTCATTAATAATGGGCAAATGCGGTCCTTTTTTTTGGAACCAACAAGACGCCCAGAAGGGCTGTATAAATAGCAAAGTTCTGGAATGTCCGCCCTCATTCAATCATGGAATTTGCAAGTGTAAGAATCTATCTCGTCGTATTCGCCATAAGCGTAGCATGTCAGGGAGTCGCTACTACGCCTTTCCTGAATAAACTGGAAAAACAGAACATACAGAATATAGTGAATAATTCATTGGATCCGGCTAAGGAAACAGATTTTAAAGTACAAAAAAGGCCCAGCAAAGAATTGCATCGTACAAAGCAGACATTATCCTACGAATTGAAAACGAAATATGCGGTGGACAAGGTGGTAGGGGGTACCTTGGCTCAAGAAGGGCAATTCCCGTGGATGGCTGTGATACATCAGCTCCTGGGTGCTGGCAGGATCTCAATGTGTGGTGGAACAATAATCTCAATACGGTGGATCCTTACGGCTGGACATTGCATTGCTAATGGTCCTACCAATTTCAACGTCATTCTGGGTATCGTCGACAAGTCTGGAATTGGGTACGATTACAACGAGGGTGCTGGTTTGTCTATGTACACTACTCAAGGTGCACTGCACCCTCAGTACGGAATGGGTGTCAACGATATCGCATTGCTATATTTGCCTCAGGATATCCCATTCAACGGTAAGTTTTTATATCTATCTACGTGGGCTTTCACAATGCTTTAATTGACGTAGAATTCATGAGTATTGTAATATTTCAGAAAAAATACAACCAATCAGACTTGCTGGACAAGCGAAAGCTCAACAAACCTTTGAAGGAAGTACTGCGTACGTCTTCGGGTGGGGTTTGGATGGCACTGGTTATACGGAAAATCAAAAACATTTAAAATACGGAGCACTGCCGATTATTTCTAACGCTCAGTGCATGCAATTCTGGAGTATCAATGATGGAAATATTTGCACTGCACCATCAACTGGCTCAGATGCTTGTCAGGTATGTTACGTTTACATGGCGACTGAATGAACGTTTTGCATATTTGCAAAAGCTTCTGTAATTTTTACAAATCCAGTATTTATCTAGTAATGAGATAATGAACCTGAGGATCAATTGATCTATTTACCCCCAGGGCGACAGCGGCGGCCCTCTTATAGTATGGGAACAAAATCAACCACTCCAAATCGGAATAGTGAGCTTCGGAGACACGGATTGTCCAAGTCGTCGTCCCGGTGTGTTTACAAAAGTGGCAGCTTTCAGCAACTGGATTGCCCAGGTTACCGGGATTCAGTACTAAATGAAACGTTTGAAGACGACGGCAAAACGATAAGTGTGTAATACTCATCAAATTTATAAGTAATAACATAACTTTAAGTATCGATTTTGCCATTCACGATTATTTTTTAACTTCTATTTAACCTGGCATTTAACCTATAAAGGGTCGGAAAGCCAATATATCGGGTCGACCCATAATGGGAACCTCATATATAGTAAATTCATGATAAAAGACACAAGTTGAGGTTATTTTCAAAACAAATTCTATGATCTCAAATCTCGACCCTCTAAAGGTTAATCGGCAGTCGTGCTGGCCCCAATCGTGCGAAACAATTGAAGGCCGCAGATTGCGGAACGTTTGGGAAACGTTGATTCTCGACTGATTGGTTAAACTATGAATCCATTAACCACAGCAATTAACCATGTGTTTAAGTGGAGCATATAAGATTTATATAGAAATGGTGCAATCTGCTCTACCAAGATAAGACCATGTAGTTTACGAATAGATTGTCTAAATATAAGAAATGTACAGCAGATGATATTTAGTCATAATAAATTATAATATTCTGAATAATTATAAATAGCCATCTCTATTTTTCCCGTTTTACGTACAATAAGGAAAACTGCAAGTAAAACAAAGAGAGTATCGGGATTCCCATCAACCTTATAAAATTTTCTGATGCGTATATTCAGTGGCGCCTCTCTCCTGTTTACTAACCATTTCGTATGCCATTTTAATTCTCTTTTTCCGTCCCTACTCGAGAGCGTTGTAGTCCTTTTAAGTTGAAAGGCAATGCGCACCACGTCGATCTACATACACAAATCGACTAATGCAACATGTCACGACGTAAAAATTACTTATCCTTGACTGGGGTCGATGTACCTATTTCACTGCTGTAGCATCTGCCAGTGACCATGGTTTACCGGTTTCTAGAATTTTCTTAAGAACACATTCTTACGCTTTTTATGACTTGATTCATTGATTTTTTCTGTCGTTGTATGGTCTTATGGGGATTCCCCTTGCAAGTAATGTGAGTGGGGGGGATTTATATAGTCTAAGGATCGGTTTAGCCACTGCATATAAAGGACACTCTGATCAAGAGCAGACTCATTCTCAGTCGTCATGTCTCGTCCAGTGGTTATTGTAAGTAATTTTAAGTAATAAAAGAATTTTTATTCTTTTGCGCATCATCATCATCATCTACTTCAATTATATTCATTATTTGTGTATTATTATTGTACATTCGTAACCTTCAAGACGATATTCGTACTAAGATATTCGAGTAAGCATAAGCTATTCCATACGAAAAATTATTATTGAGTAAAGAGCTTAGTATCCCATTTTTCGCCTGTCTTCAGATAGCCGTACAGTGGAAGTCAAAAAGAATTGGAGGCTATTATATGAGCGGATATCGCACGTGATCTTGCATACAAAATGTTTTGCCCTTCGTGACAAAATATTTGCTTAACAATTTAACATTCGACTACGTTAAACGCATAAAAATGGGTCATTTCATTTATATAAGATGCGTTCATGAACGTTATAATTGTATGCGTCTTCGATAATTATTGAAGGTTACGTTTTGCTTCCTGCTCCTTGGGACCGCATCAGTAATAACAGCTGCGAGTATCCCATCTGCAGTTGCAACTGAGGATATCGATTCTCCAATAATTGCAGAGGAAGGTTCTGTACCAGAGGAATCGTCCAGTTCTAATGATAACAATGACCTAGCTACTGATGCGACCTTCTATTGGGGGTAAGATCCACCCTTATACTCATATACATTAAATGAGAATTTCTCGCTTCTATGTTTGTAAGGTAATTGTTTCTTTTTTCGCAGATACAAACCTGCTTGGAGGTATTATGGAAACGGCTGGGGAGGTTATCGTAGGGGTTGGGGTGGAGGATGGGGAGGAGGCTGGGGAGGATATCACGGTGGTTGGGGAGGATATCATGGCGGTTGGGGAGGAAGGGGATATTATGGATAAGGATGGTCTGTTTAGAGTTAACTCAAGTTAAGCATTTACTACTATTTTAAGTTACTACTGCGCTATTCGAAGTCGAGTAACTCTTTAGTTCTAATTTCTACACTGAGCTTCATTAAGGTTATTTTTATTTTGTAAAACACGGCAAATAAATAGTTTTACAATGACTAGACTTTTAGAATACATTTAGTAGTACTGATCCTATTGTTATATATCGTTATAGTAAATGCATGAAAAATAGCGGCTAGTATATCGATAATGATTTTAGCAATCTTCAATTAGGAAATGACGTACGAGGATCGTGATGTGCGTCATTAAACATGGATACTTTTTGAAATCTTGTGACTTTGTTATATTCTTGACCTTAGACTTTTTTAAAGTATCGTTGAAATAACTTGGATTAATCTTGAGTATTTTTTGGTCTTTATTATTACTTAAGTCATTTTTATGTATCGTGAATTTGCACGTTACCCGCTGTGCGTTTTGTCAGGAGAAATTTTACTACGTGGAAGGTAGCACGATGTGTCATGTTATCGACAATAGCTTCATAATCTAATTAGGATCCTACACTTTGTTTAACACCTTTTAAGTATAAGCCTTGTACTACGCGGTGCAAGGTCTCCCTATAGGATAAATATTCCTGAAAGGTATATCAAGATCATTGGAGATCTATCCGGAAAGATTGATCATACTCACTGATTAACATTCGAACGTCCCGGTCGGCAGAGCCTGATCTAACATAAGAAAGCTGGTATTCGCATCCTCTGAATATCCACGTAGTGCGAATCTAGACAATTCATTCAGTTTACCAGGACGGTTAACGCCTCCTTTGGAGCGTCATTGAACGATTAGCAAGATCCCCTTTGACGTCACTGGCTCGTATAAATGCTTGGTGAGATCTCTTTTGAGGCATACTCATCGATCAGCGTTACAAGGATCTCTAAATCCAACGCCGAGACACTTGCTTCTATCATATACAACTGTCAAATTGAACAGATACAAATTTCTCGACTGAAAGAAGAAAAATGGTGAGGCTTCGTATACATTTTAATTAATGACTCATCAAGTTTATTCAAAGGCTCATTAAAGAATTTACCTAATTACATTAATTATGTTGTTTCAGGCTTCTACCGGAAACATCAGACTGGTTCTCGTCCTTGCAATTATATTCATGGCTTCCGCTGTGGCTCTGCCTGTTGAGAGGAAAACAATGCAAGAACGTCCGGTTATCCTGGTAGATTTGCCTACCCTATACCTTGACGCGGATGATCAGGCTCACGTTATCGAGAAACGTAGTGCACCTCTTGCGAACGACCAAGATGCATTTGCTGGTGACGATCTGGAAACTGCTGCTGGAACCAACGTCCTTCGACCTCTCTTCGTTTATCGTCAACAAGTTGCTTATCGTCAACGTATCAGGCAAGGTGGACGTCGTGGCAACCGTTTCTAAGGGCTAATCCCGACGAAATAAAAATCGTTGGTCGATAATGAACCTCGAGGCCGAAGACTGATAACCCCCCGTCGCTGGCGTCGGACCGCTCTCTTGCCACGAGTCGACGACGCCATACCTGGACTTGGGACGCTGCATTTGATCGGTGGAGAAATATCTATCTTGACTAGACTAGAGCTAGTTCGGAATAGCTTGTTATACTCCGATGTTATAACTGCTGCAGTATTCTTGATCTGGATGATTGACGACCCCGACGGCGACGGTGGAAGATCTCCTGCGATGACCTCCATCCGTTGGTGGTCGTTTATATTCTTAGATTCTTATAGATTTAAGGCACACAAGCTACCCACCAAAGTACGTTACTATGAATTACCTGATGCCATTGGAAGGTATCGTTTAGCTATTTCTATGAGATTTCGCATTTCACTTCAATATGTATATACCTGTAGATACTTCTTAAGAAATATTGTTAGCACATTCATTTACTTGTGATAATAAAGCAAACCTGTAAGATGAAAAGCAAATGAAAGTTTTATGCCTCAAAAAAACCTTTTCAAATAGAATTAAATTAGATAATTTTCGAATTCTTTGAAATGTAGATATCAAGCGTGGAAATCTTAAGAATTTCTTGTTGTCTCCTGAGGACAACTGGATTTTTGACGCATTAATCCTTCGGTCAATTGTAAGGTCCAGGGGAACTCTTCGCATTGCAAATCATAGACAAGTAACACTTCTAAAACAGATTTTACTTATAAAAGGACTTCACCTTATTTTTAATTATTCTCGACTCTGCGTCTATATGGTTATTGTAACATAACTATGCTCGGGTGATGCGTTAAAACTGAATTTATTTATGTAAAAAGTTTCTTATCTATCTATATGAATGAGTAGATGACACGAGTATAAAGACCAATTACACGTGGTTTATACTCATTCGTACTAGCTAGATACAACAGTTTTTGTAACGAATGCTAAAATACGCCGTCTCGCCTTTTTCTTTTACAAGAGATAGCACTGTTAACCTGCCTCAAAAATATTTTTAAATTTTCTTAGAAAAAATACGTTATTCTATATGGAAAACTATCTTTATAATAATTTCTTTTTAATATAATACTGATGATAAATACCTAACGGTATTCAAAATGAAAAGAAGCCGTAGTCTGTCCCAATGTCATTATCATGATTTCGTTATGAAAAATAAGGTGTAAAACGAAGATATGTAAAAATTCTTATTGGAGAAATTAGCAAAGTATTCAGTTTATTGATACATATAATTTATTCATCAGATAAGAAGCTTAAAGAATAAAATATTCATATACAATCTTAAAATATAAATCAGCCTTTGGTCGAGGATACACCAGTAGATTTATTTACAATATTTACAAATTCACAAAGACCACTAAATTTTTCATGTACACTATACTGGTTATTGTATCATTTTCCAAAACGACCTAAATATCTGGGATAGATACTGTAAGCCACTCTGTTTCTATAACCCTGCCTGTTCCTATTCTTACGCTGTTCATGCCTGTACCGGAAGAGTGGCCTTACGATGAATCCATCTTCAGCACCCTCCAGATCATTCAACGCACTCCTAGAAACTCTCTTGAGATGCTTGTCGAAACTTTCAGGCATACGATAACGGCCGATCTCATTAGTATCTGGCACGACACTGGATATGGGCGATCTAGCAATCCTCACGAACTTGAGATAATATCTTGTGGGGATGTCATCTTCAAATTTCAGTCCAGGAAGAAGAAGTAGTCTTGAAGTTTCCACGTCTCTATTTCGCCTGGACAGAACAACATGGGAATGCGGATGAATATCCTTGGATAAGAGATCAATCGAAAGTTCGTGCGTTGTGGAATCCACCGAAGAAGGAGTAATCATTGGCTGAGTATGAACTTGATCAGCTTCAGGTTTTTTTACGTTCTCAAAAGTATTCTTCTCCGTCCCTGCCATCTTAGACAATATGATGACTGGCGAGGACATGACAAATGGCAAAATTCCCAAAAAGAGAATCAGATTCAAATGATTTGCCTTCATTTTGAAAAAACGGTAGTTTATCGTAGAACACTGATAAATATGACTTGTTTCGGACACTGAATTAATTTTTGCTTCTTGACTTGCTTCAAGTAGTAGTCTTGTTTCGTCACTGATATGGGATTCTAGGTTTCACTCTTTTATAGCGTCGATCTTCCATGTTTGTTGTAAACACGGTGAAGCTGCTAAATAATGACAGGTTTCCACAAACTAGGCTGGTAATTGATTGCTAATTGAAAACATACCCTGAGAATATTGGGGTGTAATTTAATGGCGCATTTTTTTTCCTTAATTAAATTATATTGAAAATTGGTAGGATTCATTTTTCGTAAGCATATTTTAGAGTGATGATGAGAATTCGTCGATATAATGAGGAAATTCCGTAGGAAAATTTCCTATTGCCAATGGGTTTTTCGCCAAAGGTAATGTGTGGTAAATCAATGGAAATCAATGGTAAACCACGCGTTACATTTAGGGAAATCCAATGGCAGTGGAAAAATTTCCTACGGGTATGCTTATCCAGAAAAATAAATTCTACGTAATTATTAATGCACGTGATTGATAATGAAAACAAGATCTTTATGGGGGACACGTGAATTATGTTGATAAGGTCGTTTACGAAAGACCTGATAAACGACGATCCTCCTGTGACGCACACGACTGACTATAGTTGCCGTTAATTTATTCCATATGGTCCAGATGATCAAATAACTATGTAAGTATACGTTCCAGATGGCTTCTTGTTATTGTCAAAATGAAATTCTTGTCCCCTCTTTAGTCTTGCATGAGAATAAGAAATAAGTAAAATCGCTAACGAATTGTGGAACAATTCGTAAATAAGACGAGCAGCCCATTGTCAAAAATGAATTTTCTGTATTTCTATCACCAAAAATTCCATGACGGTTAAGAACCACTGCTCTATTAAGACACTTAACGTCTTAATAATTGAACTGACAAACAAAATAACACGAGAGACCTGAAAATTTTTCTTATACCTACCAGAATTTATTTTGTGTCGTAAAAACGTCACGTCCAGACTTAACGCCAGTCTTTCTCTAGACCTCGACGAAGTAGCCAGACATTGAGAGATTTTGAAAAAAAATTGCAAATAATCTACGTGACTGGAAACACTACAAAACAGTGAGCCAACTTTTTACAGAAGTAGACATTGGGTCTGAAACATTTTGCATTTAAATGGATATAGTACCCAATATTATTATCATTATTGAATAACAACATGGCGCTTCAATGTGAATCAAGAAAGACCAAAATATTGTGCCACTTAGAATCAAAGAAGATTTTTTTGCGAACATCACCAAGGATACTATTCGAGATGAAGTCGTAAGTACCACAAGGGTAGTATACACGCCTGTTAGCGATATAGCGTTAATTTTGACGTCACCCTATATAGAGAAGCGGCAGACCGTTATTGCCTGGCAGAAAGCAAAATCTTCCACGGGAGAATCGTCGTCTATCCGGTTACAAGTGATTTTTAGATATTCCCAAAATGGTAAGTAGAGAAATAGTAAGGAACATCAGGGCACCTACTGTGTATCCTGAGTAAATAATTTCTTGCAGAGGATCCCGAAAAGATCCACCCTGTCATCCTTCTACCTACTCTTCATACTCGGAGCCGTCTTTGGATACCCCATTGACGTGGAAGACGCTGCTGATCTTCTTCCGGATATTCCTCGCACAAAGAATGAGACAGTTGCTGCTCTTGTTCAAGATCCTGTTGTTCAGGATGCTGTACAATCTGTCCTAGGGGACGGTCCCTTGTCGGGACTCGTCGTGCGCAAGAGCGTCGTTATCATCCCCGCCAATGATCCAGAGACAGTACGTAGAATCATTTATCACGTGTTTAACATATAGGTATTCTAATTGTCAGTACTCGCTACGCTCGCATGATTATTTTTCCATGTGTATATAACATGATGATTCATATATCCCAGCGTTGGATTGTAAAGATCATTTACAATAATGATGATGCTGATTATGTTGCATCACCTTTTGAATGTTTCTTGGAAATTTTTCTCCGTCGAAAAAAAAACATTGTATATCAAAAGAACTCCTTACTCTACAGGTATTATCGCAACAGCATCAAGTGCTGACGGCTCCTATTTCTCATTTGGAGGACATCAGGAAGAACATCACGGACGCCGGTCAGGCAGAACAGGAAGAGAACAGCACCGATGAGGAAGCAGTCAGCGAAGTTGATGTGTCCGAAGTGATAGCATCGGATGAGAATGAAGCCTCCTCTTCGACGAAGAACAAGAAAGAGTCATATCCGGAAAACAAAGGAACTTCAGTACAGAAAGTTAGAAACGATAATCGGGTGCCTCCCAATTTCACTGGAGTAAAGGTACCTGGAATTGAGCAAACGGGAATCCTTTTACCGGGAACCGTTCCTCAGAAGCTTGAGCTTCCTAATATCATTGACGAGCGGATCTCTGTACCTATCGTGGCGATCCTGGATCAGTCAAAGTTACGTGATACTTCCGGTGTGGAAGGATCACTGGTAGCTTTACTGCCGCGTCCTAGTGATCAGACTACTTCTGGCTTGGTAGAAAAGTATGCTGAGAATCATTCTAAAATAAAGGAAGAGGTAAAGCAATACTTAAGCCCTGCCGTCGAGGAGAATAAGGAACCTCTGCATCCTGCTGTGGAAGTAGAGGTAAAATATAATTAAGAAGGCGTCCTTTGGGATTGGGAACATATAAGTTCCGGGTGTGGGTCTCATAATCGGTTAGAATAGTTCATAGTTACGATCACTAAATATATTTGGATACACCAGAGTCATCCTTGCCATTCTGATGATTACTGATGTCATCGCCCTACACGTACACATATATATATATATATATATATATATATGCATATGTACCTATATACAACTTATTGAATATAGTATGATACATTTCTAAATTGTAAAATAAGATACTATACAAACAACCTGTCGCAGTAATACAGATAAACGGAGAGATAATATATATCCTTTAGACCCATGTCATTTTATAGCATAAATAAGAAAGTATTAATTCCTAGAAATATACCAGTAACGCGACGTTCCTCTGCGTAGTCTCATCTTCAAAATCTTGATGTAAAGGAATCCGAGGATATGGCAGTAGCAGAGGACATCGTCTTCAGACCGCTCTTCAGATTTCGCCAAGAGCAAAGACGAAGATCCTCTGTTCTTGGTTATTCAACCTATAATAGAAGACAATATAACTCTTACTACGATTCCTACTCCAGAAGAAAATATCGTGATGATTCACAATACTCCAACAAAATTGATTAAAGATCTAGAGCTAGAACTGCTATTAGAGCTTCTTAGAGATGGTTATACTAGGAAATAAAAAATACACTGCGGTCTTACCAATACAAAGGAGGACTATACAGTGTATACTATACTATACTGTACGTAGTCTAATGTCTGATGGGAAATACCGAGTAAATGCCATTGTAGTAAGCGTATTGTTTAACATCTCTACGTGCTAATTGAAGATCGCCCAAAGGCATCATGAAGGAGAAAAAGAGTCATAATATGGAGGTCGCGCGTCATCCTCAAGAGAATGAAATGCTATGTAAACTCGAGTGCTTACCTGGTGCTACGACATGGTCAATTAACTCTGTCATCTTGGGATTTTTTGCTTTTCTCTTCTTTGTTACCACTCCACACGTGAGCGTATTTGCCGTATGCTGATAAACGTCTGAAAACGTGTTCTCGTTAATCAGTAAGTCCAGTGAAACCTCTGACGTTTCTGAGAGCAAGGCTACGGTAGTGAAATCGTTATGAATCATTTGATTCCCTACCAAGAAGAAGAGTGATCGGCTTAGGTTTACGGTGAATCTACATACCGGTTTCGGTTGGGAAGATACTATAAAAGCAATCGAGCCTCGGGCTACCATTCAGTATCAATCTGCTCCTCAACGTGAGAATAGCTGTATTAGATCCTGCAATAAGGATATAAACAATGGATAAACACAGTGCAAGGGTAGGAAGAAAATTATTTGGCGTATGACTAATATATTTAAAAAACGAATTATTCTATTATTTTGTAATATTACTTTTTGTACGCATTTTCTAGACCCTGTTCGTCGTATTCTTGTGCCTTGTGAGCGCACTAGGTAAGCCCTTGGGAGAGGAACAGGAGAAAATTCAACAGAATACTGATGGCCTTAGAAAAATCCGTAGCATCTACGCATATGGGATGCCTTTAAAGAAGTTGCAAAATAATGGAGAAATTGAAAGAGAAGTCCTGAAAATGACACCAAAGAATTCACCGACGCCAGCATCCATTTCGCGAATTACCAGATCTATACCCAAGGCAGAGGCGAATATTTTGGAGGATTTGGAGGCACAAGAAGCTAAAGTCTTTAGACCACTCTTTGTCTACAGACAACAAGTCGCTGATCGTTACAGAATAAATCGAGCCAGAAATCCGATTTATGGAGCGTATCAATATGGTAGGAGGTTTAGAAGACAACAGCCTGTACAGTATAGACATTAAATGCGCATAAAGACTGTGTTTTATAAAATAGATATATATGTGCGAGCGAAACATATTTATATACTATATAGACCTTTTCTACGTAATAAATAAAAACAAAAGATCATTATAAATTTTAATAGTTTTTAGTTGTTAACCTGTCCGAGTCTCAGTCATGTCCGCGTTCGTTCGCAGATCAATAAATTATGCTTGTGACACAAAGATCACATATCTTATAAATTATATTTTGTCTTTCCGAGCCTTTCTCCATCTCACGAAACTTTAATACTTATCCGCCATTATTAAAATTGTATTCAAATATTTTGCAAGAGCCACAAAATTCCGGAGTATCGGTCAACTAGGATTTCTATTGAGAATTTTCTAAGCGATCGTGAAATGTTCAAGTTTTCCAAGAGTTTCTCCGCCCGGAGTGAAAGTATTGGTGATAATGTTTATACCGAATATGAAAATAACGACGATAACCACAACTACGTTCACCGTCAGAATCGGTATCAGAATTTATCAATATCAATGAGGTCTTGAAACTTTTCTAATTAATGATATTATGTCAATGCCTCTCATCATTCATTTAGAAACAATGGATTTCTCTCAAGTCTACCTGTGAAGATGATGCTATGCATAACTCTCCACCTCCTGGATAGCATTCTCACAATGATCCTGACACCGTTTACAATGTGCCGTTGGTTATCTCAGAACGAAACAATCTTAACAATGCTGCGAGTTATCCTAGAGGTAATATATTACCATATGTTACGTATATTGCGTGCATAACCTAAAAAAAAGACATCCTATAATAATTGAAGGTCCTTCTTGAATTATCCATGTGGTTCGTACTTGGTGGAGTATCCATCCTGACAGCATTTCTTCTCACCCTGAACGATATGTCTAAGGAAAAAGAAAAACATGATGAGCATAACTCCTTGTTAAAGACAATCGATGAGCCTAAAAGTATTAAAGATAATAACCCAAATTCGAAGCAGCGCAGCAGGTGTCAAAGCATATCCCAGTTTTCCCATAAATAAAGATGACTAAAATCCGTGCCGCCCTGTCAGTCTTGTCATCAGCAACTCAATGGTGAATATTATAAAGGGTGAAAGTGAGCAGAGGGTATGCAGAGTGCGAAATTCCTACAGTGAGCGCCCAGGGGTAGAAAATACGAGAAAGTTCCAAATACGTCGAAGGTTCTCTGGAATATATAAGAGCATCGTGAATTGTCTTTAGTCATTCAACTGCGGTTCTTCGCAACTCACACTCACCTTTATTATTTTCCTCAACATGTCTGTATTCCGGATACTCCTCTTGGTGGTAAGTTTCAGTGTCAGTAGTTCAACTTCAAATCAAGTGTTTTGACATATGAGGATAAAGTGCATCCTGTAAAGAGATAAAAAAAAGAATTTTCAAATCAACGTGATTAAAATATTTTATTAGTAAAAGAAACTGTACTTTTTAGGCAGTGGTGATGGTCGGCTCTTCCCAGGGTCTCTTCGTGAAGAAACTCTTCTTGGCGAAGACCGCAGCCGTCAAGGCCGGATTCATTCACGATGTGAAGGCTGCCGCCTTGGATCTTAAGGCCGGTGCGTTCCTGAAGAAAAAAGCCTTACTGGGTGGTATCAAGGCCGTGGGTAAAGCCAAGTTGGGTTTACTGGGTTCGGTAAAGGCAGCTAAGCTGGGCGTGCTGAAGGGTATTGCCGCTGCAAAGTTGGCTAAACTGGCAGCAATTAAAGCAGGAAAGATCGCCTTCGTTAAGACCCTACTGGCTGCCAAATTGGCTCCAGTTATTGCGACTAAACTTGTTGCTGGAGGTGCTCTGCTTAAGAAAGGTGCCGTCGTTGGAAAACTGGGAGGTGCATTACCCGTCACAGGCCTTGGAGCTGGTCTGTTATCTGGAGCAGCCATTGGAGGGGGTCCCCTGAACGGTCCTTTGGCTGGTGTCTTAACAGGAGCTCTGTCCAGGGCTCAAGAACTGTCTCAGAATTTCAATGTCCCAAACATTCTCGGAAACATTGGCGGAGGACTTCCTCTTCTATTTCCACCACCAAGTGCGCCAGCTGTCAACGTTCAAACATATAGGAGCAATGAACCTCCCCTTGTTGTAGCCCCTGTTAAAAGTTACGGCCCCCCCGAACCTGCTCAGACCTACGGAGCACCTATCACGTCCTATGAATCACCTGCCGCACCTAGTATCACCTATGGACCACCTCCGAAGACTTATGGACCACCTTCTACCAATTATGGAGCACCCAGATTTTAATATTAATACAGTCTTTAAGAAATCATGTAAATAAAACAGTTATGTGCCTTTTCTAAGAAAAACAAGAATTATTGCAAAAAAAATAACAACAAACAATATAAACCTAACCTTAAAATAACAAAGTTAGAAATGTTAATTATAAATAAAAAAACGTATACATAGAACTCTCGTGATGATCGGACTAGCCGTTACGCCAACTGATAACGTATTTCTGTATCTGTGCGGTGTCACGGCCTTACGATATTATTTTGTCCAATAGTCTGCAAGTCTAAATATTCATTAATGACATAATAAGTTAATAGCGAAAAATTCTACAACAATGATTAGAATGAAACAGTTAGATGACGATATATCTATTCTCGATATATCCCGGTAAGACCGTAAATTTCTCTATTAATAATGATAAAAACGCTTTCAGTTTTTTTTTTTACGAGTTCAAAGCAATAAATAGCACTAATATTGCGACAATGTTGGTGTTGATAAGCTTAGGATGATGAACTTTTCCTCTACGACTTCATATAAATACGACTGGTTAGAAGTGTCAGCTATCAAGCTTAAAACATAGTAATAATTGTTTCCTTATTTAATTACTTAGAGGTAATTAGCATTCAGCGATTTATGAATTTATTGAGTGTTTCCATGCAAGAAAAGATGCGAAGGAAACAAGAATTATTGCAAAAAAAATAACAACAAACAATCTAAACCTAACCTTAAAATAACAAAGTTAGAAATGTTAATTATAAATAATAAAACGTATACATAAAATTCTCGTGATGATCGGACTAGCCTAGTTATTTATAAATAATAAAATGTATACATAGAACTCTCGTGATGATCGGACTAGCCGTTACGCCAACTGATAACGTATTTCTGTATCTGTGCGGTGTCACGGCCTTACGATATTATTTTGTCCAATAGTCTACAAGTCTAAATATTCATTAATGACATAATAAGTTAATAGCGAAAAATTCTACAACAATGACTAGAATGAAAGAGTTAGATGACGATATATCTATTCTCGATATATCCCGGTAAGACCGTAAATTTCTCTATTAATAATGATAAAAACGCTTT